GACCAGTTTGCTTCCTGACCCTGCTGTCCTTTCGAACGATGGGCTGGACCCTGGGGAAGGAGTAGGTCAGCACAGGGCTAGGATCCAAGGACGTGCTCCGTGAACACGCAGGCCCCTAGCAGGGGAAGCCCTAGCAGAAGGTTTGGGGACAGGAAACTGAGAGCAAGGCCTGCCCTGGGGGACCCTGCATGTCTACCCCAGCCACTCCCTGCAAGCAGCTGGGGCCAGAGAGGCTCACCTGAGACCTGCAGGCAGCTGGGGTCACGCCTGGAACACGCTCACCCTGCTCACTATCTCTGCCCGCACACTGACACACAGGTATACACACTCTGACACATGGACACACGGTCACACTCTGAGGCACGGATGCTCACACTCTGATACACAGTCACGCACCCACACACCAGGGCACGGATACTCACACACTGACACAGATATACACACTCTGACACGTGGACACACAGTCGCCCACAGCTGAGGCATGGATGCTCACACTGACACGTGGACACATGGTCACACTCTGAGGCACGGATGCTCACACACTGACAGTCACACACCCACACACCAGGGCACGGATACTCACACACTGACACATGGATATACACACTCTGACACGTGGATACATGGTCACACTCTGAGGCACGGATGCTCACACTCTGACACACAGTCACACACCCACACACCAGGGCACAGATACACACTGACACAGATATACACACTCTGACATGGATATACACACTCCGACACATGAACACATGATCACACTCTGAGGCACGGATGCTCACACTCTGACACACAGTCACACACCCACACACCAGGGCACGGATACTCACACTGACACAGATATACACACTCTGACACATGGACACACAGTCGCCCACAGCTGAGGCATGGATGCTCACACTGACACGTGGACACACGGTCACACTCTGAGGCACGGATACTCACACACTGACACATAGTCACACACCAGGGCACGGATACTCACACACTGACACAGATATACACACTCTGACATGTGGACACATGGTCACACTCTGAGGCACGGATGCTCACACACTGACAGTCACACACCCACACACCAGGGCACGGATACTCACACACTGACACATGGATATACACACTCTGACACGTGGATACATGGTCACACTCTGAGGCATGGATGCTCACGCTCTGACACACAGTCACACACCCACACACCAGGGCACGGATACTCACACACTGACACTCAGTCACACACCCACACGCCAAGGCACGGATACTTACACACTGACATGCAGACATGCCCTCACACGCACGGGCTCCCACAAGCTGGCCCGGCAGAGCCCTCCTGCTTCTAATTGCGCCCAGCACGTGAGATAGGAAACCCTCCCACAGCCCTCTGTGCTGAGCGGCCCAGGACACAGAGCTGGGCACTTGTCACTGGCAGAGGTCCCTGGGTCACATGTGTCCAGGACGGGCTTGCTCCCTGCTTTGGGAGGTGCTGACCTGCCATGGGCCGCTGGTTTGGAGCTCGAGTAGGTCATTGGGTTCTTCCCCTCAGGCTGGCAGGACCACCCCAGCTCCTGGGGGAAATTGAGGCAGGGCCTGATGGGAGGAGTCCCTGCCATGCCAGGCCAGGCCACTGGCACAGTGGGGGTTTGAGGGGCAGAGCTGGGCCTGGATGCAGCCTTCACCGTTCACTGGCTGGGGACAGTTGCTGCCCCACTTGCACACGTGCCAGACTAGCAAGCAGGTAGTGAGGAGGGGGTGCGCTGGGCGTGCAGCACAGGATGGCCCCTCCCACCCCAAGGAGAAGCCCTTACTACTTCAGGGGCGTTCAGAGCCTGAGGCCCGGACGGGTCTTGGGGAGATTCAGGGCAGGGAGTTTCTGGATGAGGGCTACTCTGAACCTGTATGAATTTAGAGCTTATTTCATGTAAAAAAAAGTGTGTTGCACAACTGAATGGTGGGCTGGTGGTCAGCAGGTATCACCCCGCAGAGTTCGCAGGGACTCCCTGGTGTGACCTGGCACGGGGCAGCAGAGCTGGGGCCCTCCAGCGCTCAGCCACCTGACTCAGCTCTGCCACTGTCACACCCCCAGCATGCTTGGCCTGGCTCTGGGCTCGGAGGCAGCTCTGTGAACAGGAGCCGCCCTGGGAGGCCAAAAGCTGCCTTGGGAGGCCGGGGGTGAGGGGACAGGTGTCCCTGGCATTCCCCCTGCCCCGTGCCAGGTCACACTGGTGAGTCTGAGAGCCACTCCAGCACGCTGGAGTTCTGAGGGCCAGGTGCCCCTGGCACCTCGCAGAACAGCCGTGCTGGGGCTGGCCCAAAACCCCAGTGATGAGGCAGGCTGGGAGGGCTCTGCCCGCCCGCGCTCTCCCTGGCCGAGGCTGGTTGTCTTCTGGGAGGATGGCCCTGCACCCTGCCGTGTAAATCACACGCGCCAAGTACTCTGTTTGTAAAACCCTGTCTCTTCCCACAAGCAGCCCCAGACATGTGTGATGGAGCAGGCTCCAGGTTCACCAGGGAGCCCAGCTCCTGGACAGCTTCTGCAGTAGGAGGCTCAGCAAGTCACCTGCAGTGACCGTGTGGCCTCAGGTGCCCCTGCCCTGGTCTCTCAAACAAACCCAGGCCCAGCAGAATGCCAGGGGTACAAAACAAACCTTCCTTGTTTTCTGATGCTTAGAAGAGAGAAGCAGCAGGTTGTGGCATCAGTGCCCCTCATTCCCATGGGGCTCCCCCCAGAGACCCGCAGGACCCACGGCGTCCACGAGGAAATGGCCCTCGGCCTGGGCATCTCCGCAGATCAGCTCTAACTTACTGTGTGCCCTGGAACTTTTTCATAAGCATAGACAAAAATAACCAGCTCAATAAAAATAAACAACTTCTTGGGCTCACAGCAGCTGCACTTTGAGATGGGGGTGGAGCTGAGGCTGGGGACGGGCGCCTTTGAGGGTCTTAGCCACAGCAGGCGCAGGGGCCCTGTCCAACCTCTAGTTCTGACTTCTTGTCTGCTACTGAGCATGAGAACAGGAGGCCCCTGGGCCTGGACACCAGTGGATTCCAAGCAGGTTCCTCCTGGGGTTACCCCCAGAGCAGACACTCAGGGGTTCACAGGAAGTGACAGCCGCTGACCCATGGGGCCCCTCCCTACCTCATCCCCGTGGTGTGTTGGCCCCTGAGCAGTGTGCAGCCCTGGGCCTGGGTGATGGCAGACGCAGAGTAACAGGAGAAAGCTAAGTGACCGAGCTCCTGCTGGAGAGGGTCCCACATCAGGAAGCAGCGGACTTCCTGGGCGCCAGGACCCAGCAGGAGATCAGCCCTGGGCACAGGCATGCTGGACACAGGCTGTGTGGCACAGGCAAGGCAGGTCCAGACCATGTGTGTGCCTGAGCGAACAGGTGTGTGTCTCTGTGTGGATATGTATCATTGTGCATGCACACGTGTGTGTGAGTGTGCAGGAAACCCAGGGTCAACCTTGGCTTTCTGACTCCAGGCTGACCGCGCACTTGTAACCACATGCTGCCCTTCCGCTGTCCCTGGGTGTCCCCAGGAACCCTAGGGGAAGGGAGGGAGCGGAGAAGTTCCTGTGTGAAGCCACACAGAGCAGGCGCTGAGGCCACAAGGCCACAGTGTCACACTGCTTCCTCCCAGCCACTTCTAAATCAGGCCAGGGCTCTGGTGGCAGCCTTGTGCGTGCTTGCTCTCAGCCCAGCCCACCGCCTCCTCCAGACACTTGGCCCACAGCAGCTTCCGGCCCCAGGGACCACGCCACGCCCCACCCACTCAGGTCAGAGCTGTTGGCGCCCCGCCTCCTGTGGCTTCTCTCCCTGGCCACTTCCCCTGCCCAGCCAGCGTCTTCTCTCTTCCCGTCGCGCTCTCCTGCATCCCCACGCAAAACCGAGCCCAGAACAACTTCCGTTGCTCCCAACCCTGAAACGGGGTTTAAAATAGTGACAGGACGAGCATCCCATTTCCTGAGTGAGGGCTGGGAGGGGCTGTGGTGGTTCCAGCGGGCTTTCCATGGTGGGGAGGGGAGTCGCTGACCTACTGTGATGAGCAGATATCCCCTATGGGTTCTTCCCCCCGGGCAGAGCAACCACAGGGCTCTGCACAGACCCCTGCATGTGTCCACCCTGCCGCTGATGCTGAGCCAGGGAGCCTTCCCCACTGGCGAGGACAGATCCCCAAGGCCTGGAGGGACAGGAGGGGACAGCTGTGCATCTGGCGGGGACCAGTCTGGTTACAGATTCTCGGGCTCTCTGCAGGATTGGCAGAGCTCAGGAGGCTCCATGTTCTTAGCAGTTCTGGAGAGCAGGGGCAGAAAGTGCTGGCCTAGAGCAAGAGGGGGCATCCTGGGGCAGGTGTGGGGCCCAGGGAGAGCTGGACACAGGGCCTCCCTTGTGGCCCCAGCCTGCCGGGCTGTGAAATGGGAGCATCCTCGGTCCCTGGGTGCTCCCCCACGAGGAGCACTCCTGTGGGTACTGCGGGTTTAAGGCGCATGGGTTTCCTAAGCACTTGTTCCTGGGTGCTCCCTCACGAGGAGCATTCCTGGTGGGTAATGGGGGTTTAAGGCACATGGGTTTCCTAAGCACTTGTTCCTGGGTGCTCCCTCCACGAGGAGCACTCCCGTGGGTACCGCGGGTTTAAGGCACATGGGTTTCCTAAGCACTTGTTCCTGGGTGCTCCCTCCACGAGGAGCACTCCCGTGGGTACCGCGGGTTTAAGGCACATGGGTTTCCTAAGCACTTGTTCCTGGGTGCTCCCTCCACGAGGAGCACTCCCGTGGGTACTGCGGATTTAAGGCACATGGGTTTCCTAAGCACTTGTTCCTGGGTGCTCCCTCCACGAGGAGCACTCCCGTGGGTACTGGGGGTTTAAGAAGCCACATGGGTTTCCTAAGCACTTGTTCCTGGGTGCTCCCTCCACGAGGAGCATTCCTGGTGGGTATTGCGGGTTTAAGAAGCCACAGGGTTTTCCTAAGCACTTGCAACATTTTGCATTCTCTCTGCTAACAGGTGGGCATTCCTGATGGACGTGCCTCAGCGTTCGGGTTCCCAGTGTTGTCCGGCTGCTGGGCCAGCGGGGCTCCCACTGAGACCCTCAGCTGCACTGTCCACTCGCTGAGGCTGAGCACTTGGGCGCACCAGCTGTCTGTCCCTGTGGAGCCGGGTTCTCCACGCCATCGAGTTCCAGAATTCTCCTGTTCTCAGCATGAGGTTTTGGCAGGTTCGTCTGTCTGTGTGTTTTTGTCCCATCTGTGTTGGGACTTCCCAGCCTTTTGGGGGCGTTTGTGTTGATAATTGTTTACTCTGCGAAGATCCAATATATCCAGGGAGTTCGTGATTGTACTTTTTTAAATTTATTGTTTATTTTATTTTTTTTTATTTTTTTTTTTTACAGGCAGAGTGGACAGTGAGAGAGAGAGACAGAGAGAAAGGTCTTCCTTTTTGCCGTTGGTTCACCCTCCAATGGCCGCCGCGGCTGGCGCGCTGCGGCCGGCGCACCGCGCTGATCCGATGGCAGGAGCCAGGAGCCAGGTGCTTTTCCTGGTCTCCCATGGGGTGCAGGGCCCAAGCACCTGGGCCATCCTCCACTGCACTCCCTGGCCACAGCAGAGGGCTGGCCTGGAAGAGGGGCAACCGGGACAGAATCCGGCGCCCCGACCGGGACTAGAACCCGGTGTGCCGGCGCCGCTAGGCGGAGGATTAGCCTAGTGAGCCGCGGCGCCGGCCTGTTTATTTTCTTTTGTTTGAGGCAGTGAGACAGATGGATCTTCCATCTACTGGTTCATTCCATAAATGCCAGCAACAGCCAGGGCTGGGCCCAGGCAAAGCTGGGAGCCTGGAGCTCCATCCAGATCCCCCATGTGGATGGTGGGAAGTGTTTAGGTGAACGTCAGTTCTGCAGCTGGGTCAGTCCTGTCCAGCTGTGCTGAGGACAGTTGGGAGTCCTGTGTACCCTCTGCCCAGGCTCGCCAGGAGCGATGCCCGTGTTAGTGTGGTGGTGTGTCGGCCTCAGTGAACGAGAGTCCACCCAGTTACTGAGCCCACCGTCCATTCTGCTTCTCTCCATTCTCACCCGATGGCCTCCTGTGCCCCGTTGACACTCCATTGGCCTCTCCTTGGGCTTTTCTGAGTTTCCTAGGGATTTTCCTGTTTCCCTTTTCAAGGATTTATTTTACTTATTTGAAAGGCAGAGCTACAGAGATGGAGAGAGAGAGCATGCTTCTATGCACTTGTTCACTCCCCAAATGGCCACGATGGCTGGGGCTGGGCCTGGGCCAGGCAGAAGCCAGGAGCCAGGAGTTCCATCCGGGTCCCCAAGTGGGTGCAGGGGTTCCATACTTAGGCTGTCTGCTGCTGCTTTCCCAGATGCATTAGCGAGGACCTGAATTGGAAGTGGAGCAGCCGGGATTCAAACGGGCACTCCCATATGATGGCGGCGCTGCAGGCTGAGGCCTGACTGACAGCGCCACAGCACCGGGCCCTCCCTGGTTTTTCTGTTACAGTTTTGAGGCTGGGACCACTCTGATGCCTTCCTCATGACCAGACTGGGACTGGGGGCACCAGAGGTGAGGGCCTTCTTGTCTCAAGGTGCCAGGGCACCCCCTGCGGGCTGACTCCCAGCCGCTGGTGCTGCCTGGCCACTGCCCAAGGTGTGTGTCAGGTGTGTCTCGGGTCTCCACTGCTGAGCCACCCTTGGTGCCCTTCCCTCCCCGCTGTCCAGGCACTGCCCTCATGTCCTAGGGTTAGTGCCTCTGTGTTGTCCGTGAGGCCCCTGCCTGGCCGTTGAGTGACGGAGATGGGAAGAGGCTCCAGGTTTCTTGACTTCCCTTTCCGTCTCGTTGCCCAGGTTTGCAGCACCATTCACAGGGAGCACCTGGTGCTTTCTGCTGGCCTTGACCAGGCTCTGTTCCGTCCAGCGATCCCTTGCCTGTGGCTGGACATGGCAGCTTTAAGGTGAGTTTTTCAACTTTGACCATTTGCCCCAAGATCGCTCTTATCACCCTTCGACCTTTACCTTCCGTGCTGGGCACTTGCTGCCTGATGGATTAGCTGGGGAGGGATTCATGGCCCAGGACTCGGGGCCTCTGACCTGGATGTGCTGTGTTCCCGTGCGGGCTCTTCCAGTGAGCTGTCGCGGTTTTCCTAGCTCTGTCCCAAGTACCCGGGGTTTCTGAATGAATGCGTAGCGCATCAGGCTCAGAAGGGCAGCCAGAAGGGATGCCTACCGGGGCCGTCGGGATGCCAGCGTGGCAGGCGGCAGCTTCACCCACCACGTCACAGTGCTGGCCCCATGGCAGCCTCTTAAAAGCCAGAGAACGTGTGGCTGGGGAGGGGCCTGGGCCCCCCTCCACACACAGGAGGGAAGCATGACCACAAGCAGTCAGGACGAGGGAAGATGTGCGTTTCCTGCGGGACACGGCCGAGGACGTGTGTGGGCAAGGCCTCATCACAGCTCCATTCCTGCCAAAGATGCTGAGGCCGGGGACCCCGCGGAGGTGCCTGCTGGCCTCCTGGTGAGACCCTGGGTAAGTGGGCACATCACGGCCCACTAGGCGTGGCTGGGAGACAGCGCACCGGATCAGGGTCAGACGCAGGCGACCCTGGCGAGGAAGCTGCCGCGGCCGCTGGTGCTGAGGCCGGTGTGTGTGCTGCGGGCTGCTGCCTGCATCAGTGGCTGCTTCCACAGCAGGAGCCCGAGCGCCATCCCCGCAGAGGAAGGGCCTGGCCCTGGCAGGGTTTGTGAGCGGGCTCAATGCCGCTCAGCACCGGGCTCTGGCACCGGGACCCCAGCACCTGCTCCTGGCACAGGGGACTGAAAACCGTGGCCCTGCGTGTGGCCCAGCTGTGGGAAGGGAGTGACAGTGAAGCTCAGGGGAGGCACGGGGCGGCCTCTCATGCAGAGGAGAGGTGGAAATCCAGGAGAAGGAGGGCTGTGCCAGCTGCTGGGGAGAGCGTGAGGGCCGGCGGGCATGTGGGAAAGAAGGTTCTAGAAAGGGACGTGAGAAGAGCAGGCAGTGGGAAGGGCTGAGGAGGGCACGGAGGGTGGCAGTCAGGACGTGGCGGGGCTGGCACTGCATGTGTGGTCAGTCATGCCTGGACTAGGCTCAGGCAAGGACGCGAGGAAGCTGGGAGCCTCCCGCCCCTCTGGTTTTCAGGCGGGATGGTTCCCTGGGCTCTGACCAGTGCATCACGGGGCAGTGGGAGAGTGGGCCTGGGTACTCCAGGCTGTGCTCTGGCCTTCTGCTGCTATCCGCTTCCCACACGGGCCTTTAGAGGGACACAGCCAGGCCTTGCTGTCCAAAGCTCCCAGCCACGCAGAAGCCACGCAGGGACGAGCCAGGGTCTCCAGAGAGATGGAACCAGCAGGACACACAGACACGGACAGGCACTGCCTTGGGGGCGTGGAGAAGTCTAGGACGTGTGATCTGCAGGGTGGAAGACCCCGGAGCCGGGGCAGCCGCTGGTGCCTGTTCCAGGAATGAAGGCCAAGAAGACGGACACGCGCGAGAGAAGTCGCCTGTCGTCTGTCCAGGCCCTCAGCAGATTGGGTGCCGCTTCCTGCCCTGGGGACAGTGCACCTTGCTGGCACAGGGAGACACCAGGCAGACACCCCGGTCACGTGCTTCCAGCTCTCGGGGCATCTGTAGCCCGGCCAGGTCGCCACGCGTAGTTAGCAGAGCCCTAGGCCGTGGGAGGACAGCGCCGAGCAGGGCACGGTTTGCCTACTGCAGAGCAGACGTTCTGCGAAGCCTCCTGCTAGTTACCTGCTGAGGTTGGTGGCAAGTGCTGCCCCAGAGAGCGGCCCCTGCTAAGTGCAGAGCCCCCCTACACCCTGAGAGGACCCCAGACAGGAACTGTGGGCCGTGAACAGTGGCTTTCAGCCCCCACCCACGTGGCTGCACGGCCACATTAGCTCCAAACAGGAAAGAAGCCGGGCCGAGTGTCAGGGAAATGAGGTCATTCCAGGAATGTAATTCCGAGCTTCTTCAGGGAGTCGTGAAAACAGGCATCACAACAGCCCAGGTTCCTCCTTAAAGAGAACAGCCCCTGCTGACAGGCCAGGCGTGGGGAGGGGTGGACCGTGGGGCAGAGGAGTGTAAGCGGATGTCCCTGCGACCTGGGCAGAGCCACGGGGCGGAGGAGGGGCAAGCCGCCAGGAGCCTGGCCGTTTCTCTGTGGGGAGCAGGTGGTTCCTTCCTGGGAGCCCCAAGGAGCCCGGAGCTGTCTGTGGCTCTGTTCGCCGGCTCTGCCCAGTGGACTCATCGGCGTGTGCCTGCGATTATCCTCTCAAGGGGACAGCTAAGCCGGCGGTGCTATTACGAGCTAATGGCTGAGCTAATGAGCTAGCTTGCATTCCTGTTTTTTGGGGTTCTGCTAATTTTACCATTGACCAGAAAGCTCCATGAAAGAACTGTTTGCCATGGCTCAGTATCACAACCTCTGATCGTCAGTATAGGGAAGGGCAGTGCGCAGAGGGCTGGGGCTGGGGCTGGGGCTGGGAGGAAGCTGCCCTCTCACCTCTGCCCACACTCAGTGACAGGATCCCCATCGCACACATGCCTGCTCGGTGCCCTAGTCCACCACTGATGGGACTCTAAGCCATGCAGAGTCCATGCCTGCCCTCTCTAGGCAGGGGATAGGTCTGTCCCGCCCACAGCTGGGTGAGGGGAGGAGGGAAACAGGCCCCGGGGACGCCTGGCTTCCAGGCTAGTGTTGCATGCCCTCATCTGAAAACCGTCTTTGCCAATTTATTGGTTCAAATGGCGTCTCATCGGCTCATAGAGACTTCTTTTGTTCCTGTTTGGGCTGCACACTTTTCTGCTGTGGGCCCCGTGCGTGGGGCTGGACTCAGGGCTGTGGTCAGAGGGCAGACGGAGTCCCGAGTGTCAGGCGCACCCTTCCCGGTGACAGCAGCACGGAGCTGACCCGGGACTGCACCGGAGATCTAAGTCAGCTCTGCTGGGACCTGGGGGCAGTGGTGGTGGTGGTGGAAGCCGGGACACGACAGGTGTGTGGGACAGAAGGGCAGAGAGGAGCTGTTCCAGGCCGGAGGCCCTGCAGACAAGACTCAGCCGGCATCCTGGGGTGGCGAGCGGCAGAGCCCCGCCACGCCTGCCCCACGGCTCCGGCTCCTCCAGAGCGTGGCTCAGAGCTCCCTTCCCAGAAGCCCCTTGCCCTGCAGCCCAGATGCAGCCTCCTTCCCCAGGCTCTCTGCACCTGGCACGGCCCCCAGACTCCCCCCCGCCCAGCTGTGCTGCACCTCCTTTCGGGGATTGTCCCCAGGAGGGATCCCCGAGGCACCTGACGCGCACCTGACCCTAGTGAGGGCTCAGCCAGGGTCTGTGAGACGGGTACTGTTGGGGAGGGACAGTGCCTCCTGCATGGCCCCTTGTTGTCCTCAGGACTAGGAGACAACGAGTGCCTGCTGTTTAGAGCCGCTGAATGTGCGGTGGTCTGTTGCAGCCACAACAGGAAACACACAGTGAGGGCAGTGCCGCCGAGGGTTGGAGTCAGCCTTCAGGCTGCTTCTGCGTTCAGCATGAGCCCAGCAGGGAAGGCCCCGATGCTTTTAGGACTCCGCGGAAATGTGTTTTGTTTAAAGATTCATTTACTGGGGGTAGGGCTGGGGTGTAGTTCTGCCTGTGGTGCCAGCATCCCATATGGGTGCCGGTTCGAATCCCAACTGCTCTACTCCCCATCCAGCTCCCTGCTGTGGCCTGGGAAAGCAGTAGAAGGTGGCCCAAGTCCTTGGGCCCCTGCACCCACTTGGAAGACTCGGAGGAAGCTCCTGGCTCCTGGCTTTGCCCTGGCCCAGCCCTGGCTGTTGTGGCCATTTGAGGAGTGAACCAGTGGATGTAAGACCTTTTTCTCTGTAACTCGGCTTCTCAAATAAATAAATAAATCTAAAAAAAAAAAAAAAAAAAAAAAAAAAAAGCTCAGGGCTGGCGCTGTGGCTTGGCATAGCGGGTGGGGCCGCCACCTGCATTGTTGGCATCCCATATGGGCACTGGTTCTAGTCTCAGCTGCTCCACTTCCGATCCAGCTCTCTGCTGTGGCCTGCGAAAGCAGTGGAGGATGGCCCAAGTCCTTGGGCCCCTGCATCTGCATGGGAGACCCAGAAGAAGCTCCTGGCTCCTGGCTTCAGATCAACGCAGCTGCAGCCGTTGTGGCCAACAGGGGATTGAACCATCGGATGGAAGATCTCTCCCTCCCTCCCTCCCTCCCTCCCTCCCTCCCTCTCTCCCTCCCTCCCTCTCTCCCTCTCTCCCTCTCTCCCTCTCTCCCTCTCTCCCTCTCTCCCTCTCTCCCTCTCTCCCTCTCCTCTTTCTGTGTAACTCAGACTTTCAAATAAATAAATAAGTTTTTAAAAGGGCTCATTTATTTTATTTGAAAGAGAGAGAGAATTTTCCATGTGCTGGTTTGTTCCCCAAATGACCACACAACAGCCAGCGCTGGATCAGGCTGAAGCAGGAGCATCATCTGGGCCTCTCATGGGGGTGCAGTGGTGCACACACTTGGGCATCTTCCACTGCTTTTCCTGGCCGTTAGTGGGAGCTGGATCGGAAGAGGAGCAGCCGTATGGGATGCATGCTTCACAGGTGGAGACTTTACCCGCTGCGCCACTATGCCAGCCCAGAAATGTTTACTCTCAATTTCTCTTTTAAAATTAGCAGAACATGAAAGTAATCATCGATATAGAATAATAAATCCAGTTTGAATGGTATACAGCTTTATACACACATGGTCATAAGAAATCATTGAAAATGCGTTTTTGGAAGAAGGGGTGTGAGACGAGATGTCCCCGCATGTGAGGATGGAGCCCCTTGGGTGGGCGGGAGGCTCCGCTGGGCAGCAGATTCCCCGGCCATGTGTGTGTGCAGAGCGGCAGGCAGCTTCTGCAGGACCAGAACCTGTCTCCTTGGGTCTGGGCCATGGACACTTGGGGAGCCCCAGAGAGCTGGTGACAGCCCCTCCACCCCAGCTGCTCCTAGAGAGAAATCAGGGAACAGGTGGTTCCAGGCCCCACAAAACAGGTGCAGAGCCCAGAGCTGCTGCTGGAAGGTGATCTCAGAGCGGACTGCAGGCTCGGGCTGGCTGCAGAGTCACCTGCACACAGAAGCTGCACACGCTCGGAGGCCCCAGGCACAGTGGCCACGAAGTTGTCACAGGGAGATTTGCCAGACCCCAGTGGTGACACCTTCGCTGGTCCCCTGCCCGTGACCTGCTGTCCCCAGGACGGAAGGGCCCACCTGGACCCTGCCCCTCAGGCCGGGGCTTTGCTTCCCTGGCTCCTCGCATCCCTGTGCAGGGACGGACGCACTGCTCATCCCCCCTCGCCGTAGTCAGCTCCCAGTTCCTGAGCAGCAGCCGGGTACCTGCACCTTTAACAAGCCAGCCACATGCAGAGAGCAATCTCCTGGCACAGAAGGCAGGGCAGCCCAGGACCACACTGTGCCCTGGGTGGCTGCAGGCCCGTGGGGGCCATCTGCGAGGCTGCTGGGCAGGAGGCAGGAGACGGTGGGCAGGCCTCTGCGGCTGGGCCTCCCCAGGCTGCCTTTCCTGTCTCTCCTCCACCTCTTATTTTTTAAGGTTTGTTTATTTGAGAGGCAGGGTCACAGACAGAGGGAGAGACAGAGAGAAAGAGCTTCTATCCACTGGCTCACTCCCCACATGGCTGGAGCTGGCCTGATCTGAGCCAGGAGCCAGGAGATTATCTGGGTCTCCTATGTGGGTGCAGGGGCCCAAGGACTTGGGCCAAATTCTGCTTTCCCAGGCACATTAGCAGGATCAGAAGTAGAGCAGCCAGGACTTGAACCAGTGCCCATATGGGATGCTGTTGCCACAGGTGGAGGCTCAACCTACTATGCCACAGCACTGGCCCCCTCCCTCCATTTTTCTGAAAAAAAAAAAAAAAGTTTTCATTTTATTTGAAAGGCAAGGAGACAGCTGTTTCATGTACTGGTTTGCTCCCCAAATGCCTGCCACAGCCAGGTCTCCCATGTGAGTTGATAGGAGCCCAAACACCCGAGGGGCCACCTGCTGCCTACAGGGTGTGTGTCAGCAAGAAGCTGGAATCAGGGTGTGGGTGTCTGAGCTGTGACTTCGCTGCCACACCTGCCGCCTGCCCCTCCTGTCTCCCTTTCTTGTGGTGTTGGGCTGCACTGGGCAGCAGAAAATGACCAAGGTTGTGACAGACAGACTGCGGAGTAGCAGACGTGTGGACCTTGTGAGAGCAGCCGAGGGGGCAGGGCGGGGGAGTCCCTGGTGCTGCTTCCCCCGTGCCCCCTCTGCCCACTCCCAGGCCCCTGTCTGCTCCCTCATGGGCAGGACTGAGCAAGTGGGGCTGCGTGTCTGAGTGTGGGCCAGCCTGGGGACCACTGCTCCCTCCTGCATGTGGCCTGCACCGCGTCCTGTAGGAGGTGAGGGGTGTGGGGGAGCACTCTGGGAGCCAACACTGGGAGCTTGGGCTGGGGTTGGGTTCTGAGGCCTGAGCCCAGCATCAGGGCAGCCCAGCTCTCAGCACTGAACCGCACAGTTCTCCCTCTCCATGCAACACCAGGCCAGGCTCTGGTGGACACAGGGGCCAGGTCCAGTCGGCCGTGGCAGGGAGGGGGCGCTGAGGGACTGGCAGGGAAGCTCTGTCCCCTGGGTTAGTGTGTGCTGTGACCCAACCCTTTCCCCCTCAGGGTACCTGACAACCACACCAGTGACTGACACCACGGGCAGATGGCACAGGGTCTGCGGAGCCCCCATGGTTTGCAGGGTGGAGATAGGCCACATGGTCTCTGTGCACTTGGCTTGTCCTGGTGGTGCCCCTGGCACCAGACATGTCTTCCTGGGGACGTGTGGGCGCCTGGCACCCTTACACCCACCCAACCCCCAGCACCACCAGCAGAAACACAGCTCTACACTATACCAGGCACGAAAGCACGTCCACTGATGCTCTGGAAGTAGCCAGTGCCCGTGGACACTCCGGAAGTAGCCAGTGCCCGTGGACACTCCGGAAGTAGCCAGTGCCCGTGGACACTCGGGAAGTAGCCAGTGCCCGTGGACACTTGGGAAGTAGCCAGTGCCCGTGGATACTTCAGAAGTAGCCAGTGCCAGTGGACACTCTAGAAGTAGCCAGTACCCATGGACACTCTGAAAGTAGCCAGTGCCCGTGGACACTCCGGAAGTAGCCAGTGCCTGTGGGTCACTGTGGTGCCCAGGCAGGGTCCTCCTCCTCCAGAATGGTGGCCGGTCCACTCCCTGTGCTCTACTTATCTGGGACAACACGAGCAGGCCCAGAGGTTCCTCCTTCACCACTGTGTGGGACAGCTCAGCATTTGGGCTGCCCCACTGTCTGTCCACGGGAGTTTTATGTGTGTGTGGTGGGGGGTGGCTCCTTGCCCTTCTTGGGCCTGTCTCGAGGGCCATCTGCCCATTGGCTTTCCAGTAGCTTCCACTCTAAGCTGAGCTCTGAAGTGAGCCCTTGGGAGGTGCACCCCTGCCAGAGCTCTCTGAGGCAGAGGTCTTGGTGCCCATCTCACCTGCAGTGCCCTCCAGGGGTCCCCCACGGTTACCACAATCAGCTGGAGGTGAGGAAGGTCTCCACCCCTTTCCACTGGGAGATGCAGACCCAGACCCCAGGGGGTCTGTTAGAGGGTCCCACCTCTGAGAGAGAAACCACTTGTCACTTAGGGAAGGGAGCACTTGGGGACAACAGGTTCAGGGGAACTGGCATGGGGGAAGGGGATGTGCAGTGAATGCCCAAGCAGACCCTGGAGGTGAAAACAGAGGCCATTGGGAGGTGAGAGCTGAGCCCTAGGAGGTGAGAACAGAACCCTGGAGGTGAGAACAGAGTCCAGGAAGTAAGAACAGAGCTCTGGAGGTGAGAGCAGAGCCCTAGGAGGTGAGAACAGAGCCCTGGGAGGTGAGAACAGAGCTCTGGAGGTGAGAACATAGTCCAGGAGGTGAGAACAGAGCCCCTGGGAGGTGAGAACATAGCCCTGGGAGGTGAGCAGAGCCCCTGGAGGTGAGAACAGAGCCCTGGAGGTGAGAACAGAGCTCTGGAGGTGAGAACAGAGCCCTGGAGGTGAGAGCAGAGCCCTGGAGGTGAGAACAGAGCCCTGGGAGGTGAGCAGAGCCCCTGGAGGTGAGAACAGAGCCCCTGGAGGTGAGCAGAGCCCCCTGGAGGTGAGAACAGAGCCCTGGAGGTGAGAACAGAGCCCTGGAGGTGAGCAGAGCCCTGGAGGTGAGAACAGAGCCCCCTGGGAGGTGAGAACAGAGCCCTGGGAGGTGAGAACAGAGCTCTGGAGGTGAGAACATAGTCTAGGAGGTGAGAACAGAGCCCTGGGAGGTGAGAACAGAGCCCCCTGGAAGGTGAGAACAGAGCCCTGGAGGTGAGCAGAGCCCCTGGAGGTGAGCAGAGCCCCTGGAGGTGAGAACAGAGCCCTGGGAGGTGAGCAGAGCCCCCTGGAGGTGAGAACAGAGCCCTGGGAGGTGAGAACAGAGCTCTGGAGGTGAGAACATAGTCTAGGAGGTGAGAACAGAGCTCTGGGAGGTGAGAACAGAGCCCCCTGGGAGGTGAGAACAGAGCCCTGGAGGTGAGCAGAGCCCTGGAGGTGAGCAGAGCCCCTGGAGGTGAGAACAGAGCCCTGGGAGGTGAGAACAGAGCTCTGGAGGTGAGAACATAGTCTAGGAGGTGAGAACAGAGCTCTGGGAGGTGAGAACAGAGCCCCCTGGGAGGTGAGAACAGAGCCCTGGAGGTGAGCAGAGCCCCTGGAGGTGAGAACAGAGCCCCCTGGAGGTGAGAACAGAGCCCTGGGAGGTGAGCAGAGCCCCCTGGAGGTGAGAACAGAGCCCTGGAGGTGAGAACAGAGCCCTGGGAGGTGAGAACAGAGCCCTGGAGGTGAGAACAGAGCCCCTGGAGGTGAGAACAGAGCCCTGGGAGGTGAGAACAGAGCTCTGGAGGTGAGAACATAGTCCAGGAGGTGAGAACAGAGCTCTGGGAGGTGAGAGCAAAGCCCCTGGGAGGTGAGAACAGAGCCCCTGGAGGTGAGAACAAAGCCCTGGAGGTGAGAACAGAGCCCTGGGAGGTGAGAACAGAGCCCCCTGGAGGTGAGAACAGAGCCCTGGGAGGTGAGCAGAGCCCCCTGGAGGTGAGAACAGAGCCCTGGAGGTGAGCAGAGCCCCTGGAGGTGAGAACAGAGCCCTGGGAGGTGAGAACAGAGCCCCCTGGAGGTGAGAACAGAGCCCTGGGAGGTGAGCAGAGCCCTGGAGGTGAGAACAGAGCCCTGGAGGTGAGCAGAGCCCCTGGAGGTGAGAACAGAGCCCCCTGGGAGGTGAGAACAGAGCCCCCTGGAGGTGAGAACAGAGCCCTGGGAGGTGAGCAGAGCCCTGGAGGTGAGAACAGAGCCCTGGAGGTGAGCAGAGCCCTGGAGGTGAGCAGAGCCCCCTGGGAGGTGAGAACAGAGCCCTGGGAGGTGAGCAGAGCCCCAGGAGGGATTGCAGGGGGAGTTTTCCTTGTTCGAGTTGCCCAGCCTGCCCTGAGTGTTGAGTCCTGGCCACAGCACCTGTCTTCCCCGTCTCTGACCCAGACTTAGCAGGGTCTGGTCTGTGTGTGTGTGTGTGCGTGTGGCCACATGACTGGTGTCTGTGAGACGGCCCCTCCTTCGCTGTCCCTCAGCAGCCGGCGGAAGGGACTCCGAGCGTGTGCGCCCGTTGGAGTCAGGACAGCCTAATTGAAGGCCCGTCTCCGTCCAGACTCCAGGAATTACAGCCCAGCGCCGGCACTTTCATTTCTGAGCTCCTGTTCCGTAATTAGAGCTTGAGGAAATGGCACACCGTACGCGGGAGTGAGTCTGCCTGCAGCCGGGACAGTCATCCTGGAAGGAGGAGGTCCAGAGCTCAGACGCGGAGGCACAGTGCGGGCCCAGAGCGCGTGCCTGCAGGGCGGAGGGTGGCTCCTCTCTGGGGAACTGGTTTCACTGCCCCGAGCACCTGCAGCTGCTGCTGGCTCACGCAGGCCCTGTATAGAGGGACCACCAGGAGCCACGGGAAGAAGTCCTCGCGGGGTTGTGGAGGGACGCGGTGTGGTCAGAGCAGAGGACTGGTCGACGCCCACCCGGGCAGGCCCCTCTGCTGTGTCCCTTCCTTCCCCTCCCTCTGCCTGTCTTCCGCACACTGCTCCCAGTGCCCTCAGCCCCAAGCCCTGTGGACTAGAGGCAGAGCTGGCCCAGCCACTGCTGAGGCAGAAGGACCGTGACCTGGGGACTGGGCTGACGTAAAAGTCCCTGAAAATTCACTGCAGACGGGTCCTGTGCTGCAGCAGGTTATGCCGGTGCTCAGGATGCCCACATCGCATGTAGGGGTGACTGTTCAAGCCCCAGCTGCTCCACTTCCAGTCCGGCTCCTGCTCCGTGGACGATGGCCCAAGGACTGAGGTCCCTGCCACCCATCTGTGAGACCCAGATGGGGTCCTGGCTCCTGGCTTTGGCTTGGCCCAGCCCCGGCTGCTGCACATTTGGGGAATGAACCTGTAGATGGAAGATGGGTCTCTCCCCCCCCCTCCCCACCTCCTTCTCCCTCCCCCACCCCCTCTACCTTTCAAATAAATTTTTAAATTAATTCAAAGGAAAATGAGGTCAGTAGCCTCTCTGCAAAGAGGCTTCGCCTGGGACGCCAGCAGCCCCGTGGCAGATGCAGACAGGGTGCCTGCCTGCTCCGCGGGCTGCCTGTGCTGGGCCAGCAGCTCCACTCCGTGGGTGGCCCGGCCAGACACACGGAGCAAATGGATTGCAAAGAAGCGGCGAGTTGCATCTTTCTGAATTCCACTTTGTGCTTTCCTCTCCATGTGAACACTTAATTGCCGCAGAAACGCTCAAATTACCTTTTCCTGGTATCTGCTTGCGCAAGTCCGGGCCATTGGAGCGAGGCAGTGAGCCATAATTTCCTCCCCAGAACCGTTACCGCCACCCTCCTCGGTCCCAGCCTGCTTGCTCTTCCCTACGAGGTCCCAGGTGCCTGTCAGGGCCCGGCTCAGCACCCCGCCACCCCCACACCACACAGGCCCGTTGGCGCCGGCCACTTTCTAGGCCTGCAGGCGGGTGGGTTCTGTCCACGTGGAGAGTGAGGGAACTGGTGTGTTTCATCCGTGGCCGCCCCCACAAAGCAGCCGGGGTCTCTACAGGACTGGGGCAGCTTGGAATCATCCAGAGAGGTGACCGGAGCGTCTTGTGGTTGCTCGGGCCCCTTCTCCGGGGTTCCGGAGCCTTTCAGCATTACGAAGCAGGACCTCCGTCGATGCCGATGCCACAAGTGAGCCGCACCTGGGTGGTAAATGTGGCTTCGCTGAACTGAGTTTGCCTAAAATCTCATTTCCCTGATGAGCAAGGGAGGAGGTGTGGAGACGGCCCTGAGCCTCCCCCAGCCAGCAAAACAGTTCCCTGGAGGTCTTCCCCGGGGTGAAGGGAGTGTTGGGACAGGGGAGCCGGGGGCCCTGCGTGGGCCCTGCAGCCTCAGGGAGTCCTTGGCGTTGGTGAAATGGAAATCAGCCGTGAGCCAGAGTTGCACTGAGGGAGGCGCGAAGCCTAGACTGTGGGCGGCCCCCAGTGCCGGGTCCTGTGTGCTCGTGTGTGGGCAGGACGCTCTTGTTCTGAGGTAGTGGTGGTGACTTCTGGGAATCGGGCACCTGCCCCTGTTTGGTAGGTGGCCCTGGGAGTGTGAATTGTCGGGGCGAGGGGCTGGCTTACAGGGCGCAGTGATGGGGCTGGAGGTTGTGCCGCGCTGCCTCCACCTGCCTGGAGTCTGTGTCTTTGCCCGGATCGTTTTCTCTGGGTGGGTGGAGCTGGGGCCTGCTGCACCCCCCCCCCCGCCCCCACATCACCTCGGCCTGGTCTTGGCTGCTGATTTTCACCTGGTGGGGAGGTGGAGGCGAGGCCTGGGAGGAGGCTCCAGGCACAGCTCGCAGGGGGATGCTTGGGCAGGCGTGGGGTCTCGGATTGCCCTGAGCTTATTAGCCAAGCTTTTTTAATTTTTAATTTCAGTTTCTGTGTTTCGTGATGCCTCACTGACCAGGGCAGGGCGGCCCAGCCTGAGACAGCACAGGGCTCCCTGCGCACACACTTTCCCCAAGCAAATCAGCGTGGCTTGTGGGCCCTCCTGGTCCTGGAGAGTCACCCAGAGCTGGAGGCCTCGGCCTGCCCACAAGGTGATGTTATGCCGGCCGAGGCCGCCAGACTGTGACAACCAGCGCCCCCTGGTGGCCCAAGTTCCCTTCACCGGGAGAGGAGCCCAGAGAGGACAGGCAGGGCCGGGAAACCCAGGGATGGAGCCCGGTGTCTGCCCAGAGGGAGGAGCCCTGACTCTGACTTCACCTTGGGCCTCACGGAGCACCAGGCAGAGCTGACGTCACTCACGGCTCACCCCGTTCCCCCGCAGCGTGCAGAGGAGCCCCTAAGGGTGTGCAGTGCCCAGGCTGCAGGAGGAGCGCCTGACCCACCAGCATGCGAGGAAGCAGTGGCTGGTGTTTCGGGAGAAGGAGGAAACCTTGAGGGGAGAGAGCAGCAGGGTGAGCCGGGCAGCCCTGAATCCAGTGGTCAGGGGAGACCACAGACCCCAGCAGCCTTCTGCCCAGGCCAACCTGAGGCCAGGGGCAGGTCATTTTCATGGAACAATGGCTGTCCAGGCCCAGCCCCTCAAGAGCACAGTGGAGATCTGTCCTACACACTGGTTCCCCTGACCCCGCAGTGGATCCCTGGGGTCGGCTGCTCTGGCCATCAGGGCAGCACTTGGTCTCCTGATCCTGCAGAGTGTGGATTCGAGAAGCATCCGGTACACGGGACAGACCCCGCCTGCCCTCTCTGAGCCACCACGGGCAGATGTGGCAATGGTGGCAGTGAGGGCCTAGGTGAGGGCCTGCCTGTGCCGTGAGCACCCCTCACGGGGAAGAGTCTAGATGATGGGAGACGTATTCTATCTGCTGCTTCACTCCCCAGGTGTTTCATAAGTGTAACCCTGTCTGGCCAGGGCTGGGCCAGCCCAGAGCCAGGAGCGGGCAGCGGGAGCTCCACCTGGGTCTCCCACGCAGGTGCAGGGGCCCAGCCACATGGGCCACCTTCCGCTGCCTTCCCAGGTGCCTTAGCAGGGAGCTGGGTCGGAAGTGGAGCAGCCAGGACTCAGACCAGAGCTCTCCTGTGCACCGAGTTCTCCTCAGGCAGCAGCCGCCCCTGGAGGTTTGCTTTTGAGAAACCTGTCAGAGATGATCAAAAACCTTAGGAACCTCTGGTCACAGCAGGGTCCTTGATCACCGTGAATCATCACCACCTGTTCCATCAGGGTGGCTGCACTCAGGCAGACCCACTAAAGGCAAAGGGGTCCAGAGACAGGCAGCAAAACTCATAACTGAAGACTCATTTTTCCCAACAATCAAAATCCAGTAAAGACACAGAGTGCAAGGGATTATCCTGACAGGCACAAAATTTCATTTCAGTGGTTGGTAATTTGTGAAAACATATTTGTTAACAGACCCAAATACGTTATCTTTTTACAGATATAAGAAGCCGAATGGTTTTTTAAAAAAGATATATTTATTTATTTGAAAGGCAGAGTTACAGAGAGGCAGAGGCAGGGGCAGGAGCAGGGGCAGGAGCAGGGGCAGGGGAGGGGCCAGGGGAGAAGGAGAGGGGTCTTCAATCCGCTGCTTCACTCCCCAAAATGGCTGCAATGGTCAGAGCTGGGCCAGTCTGAAGCCAGGAGCCAGGAGCTTCCTCCAGGTCTCCCATGTTGGTGCAGGGGCCCAAGGACTTGGGCCATCTTCTACTACTTTCCCAGGCCACAGCAGAGAGCTGGATCAGAAGTGGAACAGTGGGGACTTGAACAGGTGCCCATATGGGATACCTGCTATGTCACAGCGCCGGCCCCAAAATGGTTTAACTTATATTTAGAAATGTTTCTCTCACTTATATTCACCCAATTTATTTTTAATAATTGTACTAGATTGTTGATAATTGAGATATTAGACAAAAAGTTATTTTTAAACTTAAATTGTTACACACGATACATAGATAATGTGTTGTACTTCAACATATATTTAGATTAAATTTATATTTTTATCATCTTAAACACCAGAGATCAGTATGACCCTGTCTGGCCAGCAAACCCAGGCACAAAGGTATGCTAACAGTTTTGAAGATGTCTTCTTTTATTCATCAACAAACTTAAAATAGTTTATTTCTGAAAGACTTATGTCTCATGATGTAAAAGACATGTGGGTTCCTTTAATAGTCTTAATTCATATGCGTGCCCATTTATCTGTAAGTCAGTTAAAACAAGCTCTTAGGGATTTGTACCCTGTACACACAACATACACACATGTAACACAACATACAACACGTACATACTTGTAACACATGTCAGAAGACAGGAGAATGAAGCTGTTCCAATTGCAGGTTTGTTTGTTTGTTTGTTTGTTTTGACAGGCAGAGTTAGTGAGAGAGAGAGACAGAGAGAAAGGTCTTCCTTCTGTTGGTTCACTCCCCAAATGGCCACTACGGCCAGTGCTGTGCCGATCTGAAGCCAGGAGCCACGTCCTTCTTCGTGGTCTCCCGTGCAGGTGCAGGTGCCCAAGCACTTGGGCCATCCTCCACTGCCTTCCCGGGCCACAGCAGAGAGCTGGACTGGAAAAGGAGCAACTGGGACTAGAACCCGGTGCCCATATGGGATGTGTGCCACAGGCGGAGGATTAACCAAGTGAGCCACGGCGCCGGCCCCCCAATAGCAGGATTTTTTACCCTTTACTTCCTGTTTACAAATTGTCATTAATCCATTAGAATTATCTCTTGCTCCTAGTAACCCTCAGTTTCAGTGGGAGTCTAGTAAGTAGTTCTAAACTGCCCCGTCAGCATCTCAGGGGATGTTACGTGGGCGTGAGGTTCACAGAGGCCGGGCGTGTTCACCCACCAGGGAGACTACCCTGCTTTCAGAGTGGCGGCTGGTGCGCTGACTGGAGAGACGAGAAGGGCCGTGTGTCTTCTCCTGACTCTTGCTCCCCACAGTCGGCTGTACCAGGGGCTTCCTGGGGCATGACGGTGGCCAATGTGGTTCTCTTCCCGCCCCGCAGAGGACGGTGATGGAGGTACACCCGGTGCAGCAGGAATGAGGGTGAGCATGGCTGCTGTGCTTTCTGCCCCAGCAACCCGACTGTGAATGTCTGGAAGCAAACTGGCGTCTCGTGTGTGCATCTTTGATGCTTCTAGCTGGCCGGCTGTGTTAGTGACCCGGCAGGTCAGCAAGCGCGCATGTTTACATGTTGCTAACATGCTGGCTTCTGGGGAGTGCTAGCTTCCTGGAGAGGCTGTATTGATGTCCATCTGTCTGACAAAGAGTATATCACATTTTCACATTCTTTACCCAGATGCACCAATGCTGCCTCTTAAAATAAAAATGTCAGTGTTCCTGGTCCGAGGACTGACATTTTCAGCAATCCTCTTTCCAAGATGTGTATGATCCCTCACTGGGCCTCCAGCTGGGGAGACAAACTCCGCAGTTCTTTCTTGAGCACCTGCTGTGCTGTCTGGCCACCAGGCAACGCCCGTGTGGCCTTGGGGAGTGGGTTCTGTCCCCTCCATCATCGTCACTGCTCACCTTTCCCAGGCTGGGGTGGGTGGAGTTACCCAGGGAGCACGGTCCCTACTTGATGTTCTCTGACAGATTCCTGGCCTGGCTCCAGGCTCAGGGAAGAACAGGAGCTGGCTTGCGTATGCCTGACTACACATCCCTTCACGGAGCTGGCTTGTGTATCCCTAACCGCAAACCCCTTCACGGAGCCAGCTTACATGTGCCTGACCACACACACCTTCACGGAGCTGGCTTGCATGCCTAACCATACACCCCTTCGTGGAGCCGGCTTCGTGTGCCTCTTCATGGCAGCCCGCAGTGTTTGCACCATCCATACCAAGTGGTTTGCACAGATTGAGTCAGTGTCACACTGTAGGATGTGCAGGTGGGCTGTCACAGGTAACATGCACAGATTGTCAGTGTCACACTATAGATGTACAGGTGGCCGTTACAGGTAACATGCACAGATTGAGTTGGTGTGGTGCTGTAGGATGTGCAGGTGGCTGTCACAGGTAACATGCACAGATTGAGTCAGTGTCACACTATAGATGTGCAGGTGGGCTGTCACAGGTAACATGCACAGATTATGTCAGTGTCACACTGTAGATGTGCAGGTGGCTGTTACAGGTAACATGCACAGATTGAGTTGGTGTGGTGCTGTAGGATGTGCAGGTGGGCTGTCACAGGTAACATGCACAGATTGAGTTGGTGTGGTGCTGTAGCACATGCAGGCGGGCTGTTACAGGTAACATGCACAGGTTGAGTTGGTGTTGTGCTGTAGGATGTGCAGGTGGGCTGTCACAGGTAACATGCACAGATTATGTCAGTGTCACACTATAGATGTGCAGGTGGCTGTTACAGGTAACATGCACAGGTTGAGTTGGTGTGGTGCTGTAGGATGTGCAGGTGGGCTGTCACAGGTAACATGCACAGGTTGAGTTGGTGTTGTGCTGTAGCATGTGCAGGCAGGCTGTCACAGGTAACATGCACAGATTATGTCAGTGTTGCACTGTAGGATGTGCAGGTGGCTGTTACAGGTAACATGCACAGGTTGAGTTGGTGTTGTGCTGTAGCACGTGCAGGCAGGCTGTCACAGGTAACATGCACAGATTATGTCAGTGTTGCACTGTAGGATGTGCAGGTGGCTGTTACAGGTAACATGCACAGATTGAGTTGGTGTGGTGCTGTAGGATGTGCAGGTGGGCTGTCACAGGTAACATGCACAGATTGAGTCAGTGTCACACTATAGATGTGCAGGTGGGCTGTCACAGGTAACATGCACAGATTATGTCAGTGTCACACTGTAGATGTGCAGGTGGCTGTTACAGGTAGCATGCACAGATTGAGTCAGTGTCACACTATAGATGTGCAGGTGGGCTGTCACAGGTAACATGCACAGATTATGTCAGTGTCACACTGTAGATGTGCAGGTGGCTGTTACAGGTAACATGCACAGGTTGAGTTGGTGTGGTGCTGTAGGATGTGCAGGTGGCTGTCACAGGTAACATGCACAGGTTGAGTTGGTGTTGTGCTGTAGCACGTGCAGGCAGGCTGTCACAGGTAACATGCACAGATTATGTCAGTGTTGCACTGTAGGATGTGCAGGTGGGCTGTCACAGGTAACATGCGCAGATTGAGTTGGTGTGGTGCTGTAGGATGTGCAGGTGGGCTGTCACAGGTAACATGCACAGATTATGTCAGTGTCACACTATAGATGTGCAGGTGGCTGTTACAGGTAACATGCACAGATTGAGTTGGTGTGGTGCTGTAGGATGTGCAGGTGGGCTGTCACAGGTAACATGCACAGATTGAGTCAGTGTCACACTATAGATGTGCAGGTGGGCTGTCACAGGTAACATGCACAGATTGAGTCAGTGTCACACTGTAGATGTGCAGGTGGCTGTTACAGGTAACATGCACAGATTGAGTTGGTGTGGTGCTGTAGGATGTGCAGGTGGGCTGTCACAGGTAACATGCACAGATTGAGTTGGTGTGGTGCTGTAGCACATGCAGGCGGGCTGTTACAGGTAACATGCACAGGTTGAGTTGGTGTTGTGCTGTAGGATGTGCAGGTGGGCTGTCACAGGTAACATGCACAGATTGAGTTGGTGTGGTGCTGTAGCACATGCAGGCGGGCTGTTACAGGTAACATGCACAGGTTGAGTTGGTGTGGTGCTGTAGGATGTGCAGGTGGGCTGTCACAGGTAACATGCACAGATTGAGTCAGTGTCACACTATAGATGTGCAGGTGGGCTGTCACAGGTAACATGCACAGATTGAGTCAGTGTCACACTGTAGATGTGCAGGTGGCTGTTACAGGTAACATGCACAGATTGAGTTGGTGTGGTGCTGTAGGATGTGCAGGTGGGCTGTCACAGGTAACATGCACAGATTGAGTTGGTGTGGTGCTGTAGCACATGCAGGCGGGCTGTTACAGGTAACATGCACAGGTTGAGTTGGTGTTGTGCTGTAGGATGTGCAGGTGGGCTGTCACAGGTAACATGCACAGATTATGTCAGTGTCACACTATAGATGTGCAGGTGGCTGTTACAGGTAACATGCACAGGTTGAGTTGGTGTGGTGCTGTAGGATGTGCAGGTGGGCTGTCACAGGTAACATGCACAGGTTGAGTTGGTGTTGTGCTGTAGCATGTGCAGGCAGGCTGTCACAGGTAACATGCACAGATTATGTCAGTGTTGCACTGTAGGATGTGCAGGTGGCTGTTACAGGTAACATGCACAGGTTGAGTTGGTGTTGTGCTGTAGCACGTGCAGGCAGGCTGTCACAGGTAACATGCACAGATTATGTCAGTGTTGCACTGTAGGATGTGCAGGTGGCTGTTACAGGTAACATGCACAGATTGAGTTGGTGTGGTGCTGTAGGATGTGCAGGTGGGCTGTCACAGGTAACATGCACAGATTGAGTCAGTGTCACACTATAGATGTGCAGGTGGGCTGTCACAGGTAACATGCACAGATTATGTCAGTGTCACACTGTAGATGTGCAGGTGGCTGTTACAGGTAGCATGCACAGATTGAGTCAGTGTCACACTATAGATGTGCAGGTGGGCTGTCACAGGTAACATGCACAGATTATGTCAGTGTCACACTGTAGATGTGCAGGTGGCTGTTACAGGTAACATGCACAGGTTGAGTTGGTGTGGTGCTGTAGGATGTGCAGGTGGCTGTCACAGGTAACATGCACAGGTTGAGTTGGTGTTGTGCTGTAGCACGTGCAGGCAGGCTGTCACAGGTAACATGCACAGATTATGTCAGTGTTGCACTGTAGGATGTGCAGGTGGCTGTTACAGGTAACATGCACAGGTTGAGTTGGTGTTGTGCTGTAGCACGTGCAGGCAGGCTGTCACAGGTAACATGCACAGATTATGTCAGTGTTGCACTGTAGGATGTGAAGGTGGGCTGTCACAGGTAACATGCGCAGATTGAGTTGGTGTGGTGCTGTAGGATGTGCAGGTGGGCTGTCACAGGTAACATGCACAGATTATGTCAGTGTCACACTATAGATGTGCAGGTGGCTGTTACAGGTAACATGCACAGATTGAGTTGGTGTGGTGCTGTAGGATGTGCAGGTGGGCTGTCACAGGTAACATGCACAGATTGAGTCAGTGTCACACTATAGATGTGCAGGTGGGCTGTCACAGGTAACATGCACAGATTGAGTCAGTGTCACACTGTAGATGTGCAGGTGGCTGTTACAGGTAACATGCACAGATTGAGTTGGTGTGGTGCTGTAGGATGTGCAGGTGGGCTGTCACAGGTAACATGCACAGATTGAGTTGGTGTTGTGCTGTAGCACATGCAGGCGGGCTGTTACAGGTAACATGCACAGGTTGAGTTGGTGTTGTGCTGTAGGATGTGCAGGTGGGCTGTCACAGGTAACATGCACAGATTGAGTCAGTGTCACACTATAGATGTGCAGGTGGCTGTCACAGGTAACATGCACAGATTGAGTTGGTGTGGTGCTGTAGGATGTGCAGGTGGGCTGTTACAGGTAACATGCACAGATTATGTCAGTGTTGCACTGTAGATGTGCAGGTGGCTGTTACAGGTAACATGCACAGGTTGAGTTGGTGTGGTGCTGTAGGATGTGCAGGTGGGCTGTCACGTGTAACATGCACAGATTGAGTCAGTGTCACACTATAGATGTGCAGGTGGGCTGTCACAGGTAACATGCACAGATTGAGTCAGTGTCACACTGTAGATGTGCAGGTGGCTGTTACAGGTAACATGCACAGATTGAGTTGGTGTGGTGCTGTAGGATGTGCAGGTGGGCTGTCACAGGTAACATGCACAGGTTGAGTTGGTGTTGTGCTGTAGCACATGCAGGCGGGCTGTTACAGGTAACATGCACAGGTTGAGTTGGTGTTGTGCTGTAGGATGTGCAGGTGGGCTGTCACAGGTAACATGCACAGATTGAGTCAGTGTCACACTATAGATGTGCAGGTGGGCTGTCACAGGTAACATGCACAGATTGAGTTGGTGTGGTGCTGTAGGATGTACAGGTGGGCTGTCACAGGTAACATGCACAGATTGAGTTGGTGTTGTGCTGTAGCACATGCAGGCGGGCTGTTACAGGTAACATGCACAGATTGAGTTGGTGTTGTGCTGTAGCACATGCAGGTGGGCTATTACAGGTAACATGCACAGGTTGAGTTGGTGTGGTGCTGTAGGATGTGCAAGTGGGCTGTCACAGGTAACATGCACAGATTATGTCAGTGTCACACTATAGATGTACAGGTGGCTGTTACAGGTAACATGCACAGATTGAGTTGGTGTGGTGCTGTAGGATGTGCAGGTGGGCTGTTACAGGTAACATGCACAGATTATGTCAGTGTCACACTGTAGATGTGCAGGTGGCTGTTACAGGTAACATGCACAGGTTGAGTTGGTGTGGTGCTGTAGGATGTGCAGGTGGGCTGTCACAGGTAACATGCACAGGTTGAGTTGGTGTTGTGCTGTAGGATGTGCAGGTGGCTGTCACAGGTAACATGCACAGGTTGAGTTGGTGTTGTGCTGTAGCACGTGCAGGCAGGCTGTCACAGGTAACATGCACAGATTATGTCAGTGTTGCACTGTAGGATGTGCAGGTGGCTGTTACAGGTAACATGCACAGGTTGAGTTGGTGTTGTGCTGTAGCACGTGCAGGCAGGCTGTCACAGGTAACATGCACAGATTATGTCAGTGTTGCACTGTAGGATGTGAAGGTGGGCTGTCACAGGTAACATGCGCAGATTGAGTTGGTGTGGTGCTGTAGGATGTGCAGGTGGGCTGTCACAGGTAACATGCACAGATTATGTCAGTGTCACACTATAGATGTGCAGGTGGCTGTTACAGGTAACATGCACAGATTGAGTTGGTGTGGTGCTGTAGGATGTGCAGGTGGGCTGTCACAGGTAACATGCACAGATTGAGTCAGTGTCACACTATAGATGTGCAGGTGGGCTGTCACAGGTAACATGCACAGATTGAGTCAGTGTCACACTGTAGATGTGCAGGTGGCTGTTACAGGTAACATGCACAGATTGAGTTGGTGTGGTGCTATAGGATGTACAGGCGGGCTGTCACAGGTAACATGCACAGGTTGAGTTGGTGTTGTGCTGTAGCACATGCAGGCGGGCTGTTACAGGTAACATGCACAGGTTGAGTTGGTGTTGTGCTGTAGGATGTGCAGGTGGGCTGTCACAGGTAACATGCACAGATTGAGTCAGTGTCACACTATAGATGTGCAGGTGGGCTGTCACAGGTAACATGCACAGATTATGTCAGTGTCACACTGTAGATGTGCAGGTGGCTGTTACAGGTAGCATGCACAGATTGAGTCAGTGTCACACTATAGATGTGCAGGTGGGCTGTCACAGGTAACATGCACAGATTATGTCAGTGTCACACTGTAGATGTGCAGGTGGCTGTTACAGGTAACATGCACAGGTTGAGTTGGTGTGGTGCTGTAGGATGTGCAGGTGGCTGTCACAGGTAACATGCACAGGTTGAGTTGGTGTTGTGCTGTAGCACGTGCAGGCAGGCTGTCACAGGTAACATGCACAGATTATGTCAGTGTTGCACTGTAGGATGTGCAGGTGGCTGTTACAGGTAACATGCACAGGTTGAGTTGGTGTTGTGCTGTAGCACGTGCAGGCAGGCTGTCACAGGTAACATGCACAGATTATGTCAGTGTTGCACTGTAGGATGTGAAGGTGGGCTGTCACAGGTAACATGCGCAGATTGAGTTGGTGTGGTGCTGTAGGATGTGCAGGTGGGCTGTCACAGGTAACATGCACAGATTATGTCAGTGTCACACTATAGATGTGCAGGTGGCTGTTACAGGTAACATGCACAGATTGAGTTGGTGTGGTGCTGTAGGATGTGCAGGTGGGCTGTCACAGGTAACATGCACAGATTGAGTCAGTGTCACACTATAGATGTGCAGGTGGGCTGTCACAGGTAACATGCACAGATTATGTCAGTGTCACACTGTAGATGTGCAGGTGGCTGTTACAGGTAGCATGCACAGATTGAGTCAGTGTCACACTATAGATGTGCAGGTGGGCTGTCACAGGTAACATGCACAGATTGAGTCAGTGTCACACTGTAGATGTGCAGGTGGCTGTTACAGGTAACATGCACAGATTGAGTTGGTGTGGTGCTGTAGGATGTACAGGTGGGCTGTCACAGGTAACATGCACAGGTTGAGTTGGTGTTGTGCTGTAGCACATGCAGGCGGGCTGTTACAGGTAACATGCACAGGTTGAGTTGGTGTTGTGCTGTAGGATGTGCAGGTGGGCTGTCACAGGTAACATGCACAGATTGAGTCAGTGTCACACTATAGATGTGCAGGTGGGCTGTCACAGGTAACATGCACAGATTGAGTTGGTGTGGTGCTGTAGGATGTACAGGTGGGCTGTCACAGGTAACATGCACAGATTGAGTCAGTGTCACACTATAGATGTGCAGGTGGGCTGTCACAGGTAACATGCACAGATTGAGTTGGTGTGGTGCTGTAGGATGTACAGGTGGGCTGTCACAGGTAACATGCACGGATTGAGTTGGTGTTGTGCTGTAGCACATGCAGGCGGGCTGTTACAGGTAACATGCACAGGTTGAGTTGGTGTTGTGCTGTAGCACATGCAGGCGGGCTATTACAGGTAACATGCACAGGTTGAGTTGGTGTGGTGCTGTAGGATGTGCAAGTGGGCTGTCACAGGTAACATGCACAGATTATGTCAGTGTCACACTATAGATGTACAGGTGGCTGTTACAGGTAACATGCACAGATTGAGTTGGTGTGGTGCTGTAGGATGTGCAGGTGGGCTGTTACAGGTAACATGCACAGATTATGTCAGTGTCACACTGTAGATGTGCAGGTGGCTGTTACAGGTAACATGCACAGGTTGAGTTGGTGTGGTGCTGTAGGATGTGCAGGTGGGCTGTCACAGGTAACATGCACAGATTGAGTCAGTGTCACACTATAGATGTGCAGGTGGGCTGTCACAGGTAACATGCACAGATTGAGTCAGTGTCACACTATAGATGTGCAGGTGGGCTGTCACAGGTAACATGCACAGATTGAGCTGGTGTGGTGCTGTAGGATGTGCAGGTGGCTGTTACAGGTAACATGCACAGATTGAGTCGGTGTCACTTTGTAGCACATGCAGGTGGGCTGTTACAGGTAGCATGCACAGATTGAGTTGGTGTTGTGCTGTAGCACGTGCAGGCAGGCTGTCACAGGTAACATGCACAGATTGAGTTGGTGTGGTGCTGTAGGATGTGCAGGTGGGCTGTTACAGGTAACATGCACAGCTTGAGTTGTTGCCGCACCGTAGGATGTACAGGTGGGCTGCTGCAGATAACATTGCCATTCCTTGGTAGTGTTGGTTATTTAAGGTGTCTGAGAAGTAGACATGACCTTGCCTCACCCGATCGCATTTCTCTTCTAGATGGAGAGTCGGCTGTGTGGGCTGTTCCCACCCTCTACCCACACATGCACACACCCACACTCCGAGGTGGAAAGTGAGGCTTCCCTCCTGCCTCTTGGGTCTGTGTTGTCATGGAGGCATCAGGTCCCAGCAAGCAGACCACGTGTGCGTCTCCCTCACCAGCTCAGTGTCCCTGATTTGGGCCAACAACAGTCAGACACAGCCCGGGGCTCTCAGCTGTGCACAGGGTGAGGCGACACCCAGGCGTCATTGTGCAGGCATCCAGCAATTCCCCTCGCTGGAGTGCTCATCAAATCCCAGACCGGGGCGGGGGGGGCGAGGACGTGACATCACTGAGACTCGTGACTCAGCAAACGAGTGCCCCTCGGGCTGCCAGCATGCGTGCTGTCCTTCGCAGTCTGTCCTAGAAAGCTCTGCAGGACTAAGGCTGAGGCACAGAAAATGGGGGGAGAACGTGCTTCTCTGACAGCAGGAACCACGAGGCTGCAGCAGCAGCAGGGAGAAGAGCTGGGGACACTGGAAAGTGGATCTGGGATGTCAGCAGGCCCAGCGGACGGACGTTCAGTGTGGAGCTGCCCCACCGGGCCTGGGGCCTGACGGCTGCCTCCTGCAGCGAGTCATGGCCCAGTGTGGCCAAGGACAGTCGGCGTTTCCTGTGGGAAGCTCGTTTGAGAGACCGGCGCTCAGAGCCTCCTGCCCAGGTTCTGGAGACCCCGTGTGTCAGTGCCCAGCGATCCTCAGATGAGCAGGCAGACAAGCAGTCCCCTCTTGGGTCCAGGTCAAACCAGTAAATGCAAACGCATGTGGTCTGACACCGCCCAGACTGCCCAGCAGGACACAGGTTCAATGGCAGCCCCTCTGCCCAGCCTGCTTTCCAGGGACAGCCCTCCCCTCCCCACCCCCGAGGGTGCTGAATGGAGTCACTGGGTCTCAGCCCCCCAGCCAAGGGGAGGAGGCTGTACCTGTGACCCGAGCGGGGCCATCTCAAGACCTCTCCAGGAACTTGGATGCAGGGAGGGGCAGCCTCCAGGGAGTGACCATAGCCTCTCCCTGAGCCTCTGAACCCTGCAGGCTGCCCACGCCCTCCAGATAACCTTCTTCACCTGACTGTCCACAGACAGGCTGTGTCACCAGCCACCAAGCAGCTCAGTCAGAACCACAGTGGACAGGATGGCCTAACAGTGCACTTAGTGCCCCCATGCCTGGCCAGCTCTGGGCTCGCACGCTGTTCCACCTGCACCCCCTCACCTGCTCACATGCTGGTCTCTGGGAGCACAGGAGTGGCCAGAGGGGAGGACGTCTCAGTGGACGAGGCCACACAGCTCAGGAGCTTGGGAGCAGCTGCTCTGGATTTGAGTCGGCACATCTGACCCCTGTACCAGCCCCCCACAGCACCTGGCTTCTCCCCGGGCCCAGAGCCTGCAGGTGCTGGAACCCTGCCCCAGGCGTGGGCTCTCGCTACCAGATTTTCCACACGCACCCTCGGGCTGCCTCCTCGGTGTTGCCACCATTACCGTGAGTCATTTCTTCCTGTATTTGACTTTCTTATTTACCTGAATTTTATGACTATTTACTCCTGCATTTCACTTCACTCACGTTTTTACTGAAATGTATTTTATAAGGAATTACTCACAGGCACACAAACAAGCAGACACACACACAGAGCAGCTGGGGACTGTGAAGTCAAGCCAGCCATTCTTGTCAGGCTGTGCCAAGACAGAGCCAGGCCTCAGGAATGTGCCTTTGGTTTGCCAGCACCCACGGCACTGCGGCCCAGGCTGCATGGGGTCAGCACCCAGGGCACTGCGGCCCCAGGCTCCGGGGTCAGCACCCACGGCACTGCGGCCCAGGCTGCATGGGGCCAGAGCCAGGGCACTGCGGCCCCAGGCTCCGGGGTCAGCACCCACGGCACTGTGGCCCCAGGCTGCATGGGGTCAGCACCCAGGGCACTGCGGCCCAGGCTGCATGGGGTCAGCACCCAGGGCACTGCGGCCCAGGCTGCACGGGGCCAGAGCCAGGGCACTGCGGCCCCAGGCTCCGGGGTCAGCACCCAGGGCACTGCGGCCCCAGGCTCCGGGGTCAGCACCCGGGGCACTGCGGCCCAGGCTGCATGGGGCCAGAGCCAGGGCACTGCGGCCCCAGGCTCCGGGGTCAGCACCCACGGCACTGCGGCCCAGGCTGCACGGGATCAGCACCCGGGCACTGAGGCCCAGGCTGCACGGGGCCAGACCCGGGGCACTGCGGCCCCAGGCTCCGGGGGAGGGACCCAGAGACTGCTTCACACCTGAGGCCTTGCCGGCATCCCATTTGGGTGTCAGTTTGAGTCCCAGCCTCTCTACTTCTGATCCAGCTCCCTGCTAATGGCCTGGGAAAGCAATGGAAGATGGCCCAAGTCCTTGGGCCCCTGCACTCGCATGGGAAGACCCAGAGGAAGCTCCTGGCTCCTGGCTTTGGATCAGCCCAGCTCTGGCTGACACAGCCATTTGGGGGAGTGAACCAGCAGATGGAAGGCCTTTCTCTCTGTCTCTCCCTCTCTTTGTCTGTAACTCTACCTCTTAAATAAATAATAAATAAAATCTTTAAAAAAGTGCTTCTTGGTGATTATTGCACATGTTTGAATTGTGGATTTTTAAAAGATTAATTGCATAGTAAGAAAATTGTATTTGTATCAGTAAATATTTCTACCAGTGAATAGCAATAAATACTTGTATCAGTAAATCTGTTTAAGATACATGACTCATGATAATTTTCAAAGCAAATAATGAATAATTTCAAATTTGTATGTGAAATTTTATGTTAATATTCCTAATTCAAATCCACATAAAATGTGACGAGCCTTCTATATGATACAGCCTATATTCACATGCAGATATGGATATCAGTATGTGAGATAATGATTAACACAGAGGGCAGATCCTTAGAATTGTGGGGAAAGGTGACGTTAATCTTATTTGTAAGTCTTTTTGTTTGTTTGTTTTTGAAAGGTTTTATTTATTGGAGAAGTGGAGTTACACAGAGAAAGAGAAAGATAGGCCTTTCATCTGCTGGCCCACTCCCCAAATGGCTACAACAGCCGGAGCCAGGAGCATCCCCTAGGTCTCCCATGTGTGTGCAGGGTCCCAAGCACTTGGCCATCTTCCACTGCTTTCCCAGGCCATAGCAGATAACTGGATTGGAAGAGGTGTAGCTGGGACACAAACCAGTGCCTACATGGGATGCTGCAACGCAGGTGGAACCTCAGCCTACCATGCCCCAAGTGTGAAATTCTTTCATTGACTTGATTGCCTTGTTTGTTGCAAAAATTGTTAGGGAGGAAGTTGGAAATTATCCTGTTTGTGTGAGAGGCCTGAGAAAAATAAGTTTCTTCAGGAAGGAGTGTAGCAGTCTTGGAAGCTCACCTTAGAAGCAGCCAGTATTTTACACTACAAAGCCCTGCCTGAAACCCAATAACTTTGCAGTCCCAGCTTCCCCAAGGAGGCTCCCCCAGGGACTCTCCTGAGCCGGGGTGACCCCGCCTGATAGTCTTGCGCAGTAAAACCTTCAGGGCCTTCTCCCAGGGAGGCACCCCAGGGGACCCTCCTCTGCCAAGTGGGCCGCCCAGTGTGACAGCACTGAGCAGTGAAACCATGGGAGGAATGTACCCGATCCATATTCAGCAGATCCTTTGTCCAGAGGAGGGAGGAGGAGAGGAGAAGCAGCCAGAATAACGCCCCCATCCCTTAAAAATCCAGTCTCAGATTCCGTGTGGAGAGGTGCCCAGCTGTTTTGATGGATGTCCCACCCCATTAACCCTTGCTACCCTGCTGACCACTCCTGTCTCATGTCGGAACTCTTGAGCAAAGACAAGAACCGGTTCCACTCAACTCCACTAACAAAACCACCAAAGGGAGGATGAGGTTCAAGTTCGGGTCCCAGGAAGTAAATAAGGGTTTGATAGGTAGACAGAGAGATGGACTTCAGGAGTTTCTAGGTAAGCAACCACCAGACAGTGGAAACTTCCAACTTGCACAACTTAGAATGCACTTGCCCTAGGCCACAGCTTTTTATTCTGATATATACACTAGATTAGTTTTCCCAAGCACATAGTATGATCCAGGGATGGATCACAAGTTTAAAAAAAAGAGTTAGAGATACCTTCCATCTGCTGGTTCACTCCCCAGATGGCCCCAATGGCCAGCACTGGGTCAGGCCAAAGCCAAGGGCTCCATCTGGGTCTCCCATGTGAGTGGCAAAGGCCCAAACACTTGGGCCATCTTCCCCTGTTTTACCAGGGAGCTGGACTGGAGCAGCTGGAACAGGAACAGGCACGCATATGGGAGGCCAGCCTTACCCACTACTCCACACCAGCCCCCATACAAGTTATTTTAATAGAGGCGATCAAAGGGCTAGTGCTGTGATTAAGCCCCGGCCGTTGCGGCCATGTGAGGAATAAATCAGCAGATGGAAGATCTCTCTGCCCCTCTCTCTAATCTGCCTTTCAAATAAATATATGAATCTTAAAAAAAAATCAAACTTTTTTCACTTAGAAGGTTTTTTTTTTTTTTTAAGATTTACTTTATTTGAAAGGCAGAGTTATGGGGGGGAGGGTGTCTTCCATCTGCTGGTTCACTCTCCAGATGGCCACAGTGGCCGGGGCTGCGCTGATCCAAAGCCAGGAGCCAGGAGCTACTTCCGGGTCTCCCACGTGGGTGCAGGGCCCAAATATTTGGGCCATCTTCCACTGCTTTCCCAGGCCACAGCAGGGAGCGGGATCAGAAGTGAAGCAGCCGGGGCTCGAACCAGCGCCCACATGGGATGCTGGCACTGCAGGTGGCGGCTTTACCCGCTACCACGGCGCCAGCCCCGAAGTGAGCTTTTAGGAGTATTAGTTTCCTAAGTTTTGTTTTTATTTTTTGGATTATTTTTAGTTTCCTAAGCTCTTTAAAGTAATTTAAAGTAAATGCGTGCTTTCCCCACGCATTAGGCAGCACCTGTAGGAAGCAGACGTGGGTTCTATGAACGCAATACAATCACCAGAAGTAAAAATCAAATCTCAAATCTTGCTTCGGTTATCACGTGCTCCGCGCACAGTCGAAAACCACGTTTCATCCCAACACGAATGCGTCAATTTAGGGTAGATTCAGCGGCCACACGGACGTCACGTGGTACAGACCGGGGCGGCGCCTTTGGCGGGTAGGCGGGACGCAGGGGCTTGTGGGAAATGTAGTCATGGTTTCCGTGACGTCATCATCACGCGACGACAGGAAGGCGCCTCGGTCCCTTCTGCGCATGTGTCCAAGAGTTCCGTGTGTCGCCGCTGTCTACCCGCGCCATTGGAGTCAGGTTGTGTGTCGCCGCAGTCTACCCGCGCCATTGGACTCGGGCTGAAGTGCATCGCTGCAGGTGGGTGAGGAGGACCTGGGCGCGGGGCGGGCGCCTCCCGGGATGGGAACAGAATGGGTTGTGAGGCGCGGCGCGCCCCGACGGGGACCCCTCCAGGAGGCGACCCTCGTAGTGGGGATGCTGGGGGCGGGGAGGGTCATCTGGGCGGTCATGAGGGCCGGGGGCGGGGAGGGGGCGTCGGGGCGGTGCTGAGGGCCGGGGGCCGGGAGGGGGCGTCGGGGCGGTGCTGAGGGCCGGGGGCGGGGAGGGGGGGTCGGGGTGGTGCTGAGGGCCGGGGGCGGGGAGGGGGCGTCGGGGCCGTGCTGAGGGCCGGGGGCGGGGAGGGGCGTCCGGGGCTGTGCTGAGGGCCGGGGGCGGGGAGGGGTCGTCGGGGCGGTGCTGAGGGCCGGGGGCGGGGAGGGGGCGTCGGGGCGGTGCTGAGGGCCGGAGGCGGGGAGGGGGCGTCGGGGCGGTGCTGAGGGCCGGAGCCTGGGAGGGTCGTCGGGGCCGTGCTGAGGGCTGGGGGCGGGGAGGGGGCGTCGGGGCAGTGCCAGGCTGGAGCCAAGGGAGGGGGCGTCGGGGCCGTGCTGAGGGCCAGAGACGGGGTCAGGAGGCCTGCGCTGCCTGACGCCTGGGGCGTGCCTGCGGGTGGACAGACGGTGGTTCCTGGAGCCCCGCGCCCAGGCGGTCTTTTCCAGGAAGCGGTGATGGCTGCGCGCGATCAGACGCTGGGAGTGGCGTGGGCACACCTCTGGCCCTGACCTGTGTGACGTCAGTCGTCTGTGACGCGTGCGGTTCCCAGAGGAGTCACTGGAGTGTGTGCAGACTGAGCCTCAGTGTGGGGCCGTCCGGTGTGCGGGTTCTGTGGTCCTCACGTGATGTCTGTCCCCTCCTTCCTTCCAGGGGCAATGCGCTCCACCGGGGAGACTTGGGGCGTGGATGGCGGCCCCGTCTCCTTCCCACGCTTTTGCCGTACTGCAGAGCAGCGCTGAGAAGTCCCACAGAGGTAGGGATCGGAGCTTTGCACAGGCCAAGCAATGACTGACGTGTTGCCCAGCGTGATCGAGGACTGAGTGATGTTCCTCTGCTGCTTCCACGAACTGCCATAGACCTGGTGACACTGGAATTTTGTGTGGACGATCAGAAGAAAGGTGTGGGGGCCACACTGTGGTGTAGTAGGTTAAGCTCCGGCTGCAGTGCTGGCATCCCATATGGGTGCTGGTTCGAGTCCCGGCTGCTCCTCTTCCGATCCAGCTCTCTTCTATGGCCTGGGAAAGCAGTGGAGGATGGCCCAAGTCCTTGGGCCCCTGCACCCACCTGGAAGACCCGGAAGAAGCTTCTGGCTCCTGGCTTCGGATCAGCCCAGCTCCAGCCATTGCAGCCATTTGGGGAGCGAAGCAGTGGTTGGAAGACCTCTCCCTCTCTGTCTGCTGTAACTGTCTCTCAAATAGAATCCCCCCCCTTTTTTTTTTATTTTATTTTATTTTTTTTTTTTAAGGAAACGTGAGTGAGTGGATTTAGAAGGGTATGCAAGCGCCGGGGACTGTTACTAGCGGGGTCTTAAAGGTGTTGGCTGAAGCAGAGGGTAACCTGTCACTCCTCGGAGCCCCTGTGTACACACTAGCTCTACTTTCTGCCTTCACTGTTTCCAGAACCCAAGCCCTCTCAGTCCTCGTCTGTCACCCAGAGTAGGATTTAGAGATGGGCTGATGTTGCGTCTGTCCTGATGGTTCTCCCTGATAGCTTATGAAAGGTTGCTGGAGATTTTCTGCCTGGTCGGAAACCAGCTGAGTTTCAGGGAACAAGTGGGTTTCCTGGGGTCATCTGATGTGTAGATGTCCACTACCCTGGCTTTTCCACTAGTGTTTTCTGCTTTGCCATAATGCATTCAGAAACTCATGCTGTTTCTGGCTTCAGTTTCAGCAACTGCAGTTAACATTGAGCAAACCTGGTTTAAAGACTGCCTTGACCATGCCTGCTATTCCCCCTCCCCCTGCCAGCACTTGCCATGGAGTATGTGAGCCAGAGGGGTTTATAATACACATTTCCCCTCTTGGTGGCGGTAGTCCATTCTTCAGAGTCATACGTGTTGTAGCCAATTACCGTGAGCTTATTTTCCACTGTTTGGAATGGGAGAACTAGGGTGAGTCACACTTCAGTCGCTGGCAAGTTCATTATGAAAGTGCACAATCCAGTGCCCGCATGGATGTAAACATTTAAACAGTCTTAGGATCTCTCCGTAGTTTCTTTGTGTGACTCACACAGCTTAGTGCCGACAGGAGACTCATCTGGTTGACCTTTATTCCACTTTTTGAAACTACATTTGGTGTTGAGGCTATAATTGCATTTGACATGAAGTTTGATTCTTTTCCCCGTACTTATCAAAGTATCTCAGCCTGACGTATCAACAAAAAGCTTACTGGGCTAAAAGGCATTTTGTGAATTTAAAAAAAAATTTTTTTGAGTAGCAGAGATGTGCTAGGGAGAGAGAGCTCCCATCTACTGGTTCATTCTGAAAATACCTGCAATGGCAGGGACTGAGCAGGCTGAAGCCAGAAGCTGGGAACTCAGCCCAAGCCTCGCATGTGGGTAGCAGGGATCATTTACCGGAGCCATTCCCTGCTGCCTCCCATGGTGTGTGAGTAAAAAGCTGGGATTGGGAGTGGAGCAGCATTCGAATCCAGGCACTCCTGTATGGGATGCAGGTGTCCCAGCTGGTGTCTGAACTGCCATGTGCCTGCACCTTATTTTTAATTCTGAGACCGCAACATGGGGGTACAGATAACATTTTCATATGCTGATTTCATTTCCTTTGGATAGATTCCCAGGAGTGGGATGGCTGGGTTATATGGTAGGTCTGTATTCAGCTTTTTGAGGTATCTCCATATTGTCTTCCACAGTACAGTCTCTACATATTAAACCATCATCACTTTTTACTTTTTAGGTCTTTTTTTTTTTTTGATGGTATAACCATTAAAAAAGTACCTTGAATTATATCTTTTTAAAAACATGTTATTTATTTTTGTGGGGTGAGGAAGAAATCCCTTATCTGCTGGCTTACCCCTCAAATACTCACAACAGCTAGGTCTGGGCCAGGCTGAAACCAGGAGCTGGGAACCCAGTCTGGGTCTCCCATATGAGTGGCAGGGACCCAGGTACTTGTGCCATCGCTGTTGACTCTCATGTATGCATTAGCATGAAGCTGGAATCAGGAGTGGGCACTCCAGTGTGGGATGTGGCCATCCCCAGAGCCGGTGTGACCACTGTACCAGATACCCACCCAGGAATTACAGCTTTTTGATTCCTGCTAGCTCTCAAGGTTTTGAGACCCCAGGTTTTCTCCCATTTTCAAACGTGTTTTTATATGCTATGTTAGGAATACCTCAGCACTCTTCATCTTTCCTCTGGGCCATTTCAGGCAATTGAAATAATCTACTGGGGCCAACTGCATTCATTCACAGATTTTAAGAGTGGTTTTCATGATTATAACTTTTGAATAAATTACCATGGGGCTGAATGTTTTGTTCTTTTTTTAAAAAGATTTACTTATTTATTTGAAAGTCAGAGTTACACAGAAAGAGAAGGAGAGGCAGAGAGACAGAGAGAGAGAGAGGTCTTCCATCCGCAGGTTCACTCCCCAGTTGGCTGCAATGGCTGGAGCTGAGCCGATCTGAAGCCAGGAGCCAGGAGCTTCCTCTGGGTCTTCCCATGTGGTTGCAGGGGCCATCTTCTACTGCTTTCCCAGGCCACAGCAGAGAGCTGGATCAGGAGTGGAGCAGCCAGGATTTGAACCTGTGCCCATATGGGATGCAGGCTGCGGCTTTACCTGCTGCACCACAGTGCCAGCCCCGAGTGTTTTGTTCTTGATTCTCAAATTATTTATCAGTGTGTATTTTTCTGTAAGAGCTGGGAGATGCAACCTTGTCAACCTTAAATTAAAAAATGTTTCGAGGCTTGAGTTTTCCAAACTGTATGATCTCAAATTTCTTATCTCTCTCTCTTTTTTTTTTTTTTTTTTTTTGTGAGGTGACAGAGGATTCCCATCTGCTGATTGATCCCACAAATGGCTGCAGCAGCCAGGATGGGTCAGTACCAGATCCATGTCTTGGGACCTCAATCCAGGTCTCCGATATGGGTGGCAGGAACCATTACTGGCCCCACCAGGGCCTGTTAGCAGGAAGCCGGAGTCAGGAGCCTGAGGTTGGAATCAAGCCCAAGCACTTCAGTGTCTTAACTTCTAGGTATTTTTCCCTTTTTCTTGTTTGCAAACCGACTTTCTTTTGTTTTTCATTAGTTCAGGTTTTGTTCTACTTTACCAAATGCAGTGAATACTTAGACTACTGTCACCATTTCCCAGCCTCTTTTTCTAAAGCTTAAGATCTGTGAATTAAGCATTATTCAATTTAGTCATAATTAGGTCACATAGACAACTATCATTAGATACCAGAGGTCTTCATAAAGTTCACAGAGCGTGGGGCTGGCTTTGCTGTAGCAGGTAAAGCTGCTGCCTGTGATGCCAGCATCCCATATGGGTGCCGTCTAGAGTCCAAGCTGCTTCACTATTTTTTTTTAAAGATTTATTTATTTATTTGAAAGATAGAGTTAAAAAGAGGAAGAGAGAGAGAGAAAGAGAGAGGTCTTCCATTTGCGGGTTCATTCACCAGATGGCCACAACAGCTGGAGCTGGTGGATCTGAAGCCAGGAGCTTCTTCTGGGTCTCCCACGTGGGTGCAAGGGCCCAGGCACTTGGGCCATCTTCCACTGATTCCCCAGGCTGTAGCAGAGAGCTGGATTGGAGGTGGAACAGCCTGGGATTTGAACCGGCATCCATAAAGGATGCTGGCACTGCAGGCGATGGCTTTACCCGCTATGCCACAGCGTTGGCCCCTGCTTCACTTCTGATCCAGTTCCTGCTAATCTACCTGGGAAAACAGTGGAAGGTGGCTCAAGTCCTTGGGCTCCTGCACCCATGTGGGAGACCTGGAAGAAGGCCATAGTCAAAGTGGAAGTTCTCTCTCTCTTCAGAGAAAGGTACCTCCTTCTTTGATGGTCCATTCTTTCTGCTGGGATCTCACTCACAGAGATCTTTCATTTAGGTCAATTTTTTTTTTCCCCACAATGTCTTGGCTTTCCATGCCTGAAATACTCTCATGGGCGCGTTTTTTTTTTTTTTTTTTGACAGGCAGAGTGGAGAGAGAGAGAGAGAAAGGTCTTCCTTTTGCCATTGGTTCACCCTCCAATGGTCGCCCCGGCCAGAGCACTGCGGCCGGCACACCGTGCTGATCCGAAGGCAGGAGCCAGGTGCTTCTCCTGGTCTCCCATGGGGTGCAGGGCCCAAGCAATTGGGCCATCCTCCACTGCACTCCCAGGCCACAGCAGAGAACTGGCCTGGAAGAGAGGCAACCGGGACAGAATCCAGCGCCCCGACTGGGACTAGAACCCGGTGTGCCGGTGCCACTAGGTGGAGGATTAGCCTATTGAGCCGTGGCGCCGGCTCCTCTCATGGGCTTTTTAGCCGGATTCAAATGCCTTAAGGGCTGATTCTGAGGCAAGAGTGCTGTTTAGGATATCCGCCATACTATGAGTCTGCTGTGTATCCTGCTTCCCATGTTGGATCATTCTCTCCTTTTTAATTCTATCAGTTATTATTAGCAGACACTAGTCTTATTTTGTGATCTTTTTGACACTTAATCATATCATTATGATCAATTATGAACTTAAACTGATCACTTGACTAGTAAGATGGCATTTGTACAAACCACTTTAAAGGGATTTGGAATCCCATGGCACGTTTCTAGCTCTACCATTAGGGGTCATTTGTGTAATTTGAAGAATAAATTCTTTTAAATATATATTTATGTTTTAATTTTATGTGTTAAAAGGCAGAGTGGGGGGAGTTTCGATCTGGTAGTTCACTGTCAAAATGCATAGCAGCAGCCAGGGCTTGGCCAAGCTAAAGCCAGGAGCCTTGAACTCACGCTGGGTGTCCCAGGAGTATAGCAGGGACTCGGGATCCACTTTAGCAGGAAGCCGGCTCAGAGGCAGAACTGGGACTTCGAACCGGTTCTCTGGTATGGGTGAGGGCGCACCCCAAGAGGCATTTTAACCGCTGCACCAGACACCCGCACCTAAACATCTACGTGTGTGTGTGTGTGAGAGAGAGACATCACAGAGAGCTCCCATCTGCTCACTCACCCCGCAGACGGGGCTGAATCCGGGAAGGAGCGCAGGCCAGTTCTCCCACGTGGGTGCCAGAGCCCGATGACCGGAGGCGTCCCCGACACGTTCTCGTCCTCCCCCATCTATGCCTGCCCCAGACACGTTCTCGTCCTCCCCCATCCATGCCTGCCCCGACACGTTCTCGTCCTCCCCCATCCATGCCTGCCCCGACATGTTCTCGTCCTCCCCATCCATGCCTGCCCCGACATGTTCTCGTCCTCCCCCATGCCTGCCCCGACATGTTCTCGTCCTCACCCATCCATGCCTGCCCCGACACGTTCTCGTCCTCACCCATCCATGCCTGCCCCAACACGTTCTTGTCCTCCCCCATGCCTGCCCCGACATGTTCTCGTCCTCACCCATCCATGCCTGCCCCGACACGTTCTCGTCCTCACCCATCCATGCCTGCCCAGACACGTTCTCGTCCTCCCCCATGCCTGCCCCGACACGTTCTCAGCTCTGCTCCCATTCTGTGCCTGGCTCTGTCCTCACGGGTCTCTCACAGGGTAGAAAATTCAGTTTTATGAAGTCCATTTTAGCATCTTCTCTCTTTTGCGAAATAAATTTTGGAATTAGGTTCATGACTACCCAGGACCACATAGATTCTGCGTTTTCTAGAATTGTGTATTTCGCCTTTGGAATCTCCGCGTGTGGACTCGGGTTAGTTTCTGCGTCCCCCGCACAGCGATGTCCTCTGGTCCCTGCATTCCGGATGCCCCGTGTGTCAGTTTTAGGAAGAGACGCGGGTGGTGCCCCGGGTCGGGCTGGGTCTCCAGCTTCGCGGCCCGGCCCGGGGAGTTCTGAGGACACGCGAGGGCCGTGCCAAGCGGCCACGCCGCCTCAGGCGTCAGCGAGGGAGGTGCGGGCAGCACCCCGAGCCCAAGGCCGCGTCCTGGTCCCTGTCGCCGGCCGGACGTGGCACCCCTGCGACGCGGCAGAGGGCCGCCGTGGGGGGCCGCCCCCGATCTGGCGAGGCGGGTCCCAAGGAGCCCCTCACAAACCCTCCGTGGTGGCCGCGTTTCCGAGCCGGGCCGTGCGTTCCTTCTGGTCCGCGCACCGTGTCCGCTCCAGCCTGCGCCGCGGACAGCCCCGCGTCCCGACTCCACGCCGGCGGGAAGAGGGGTGTGGGCGGCGGCGCGTCGGAGCGTGCGCCCCCGACCCCGGCAACTGTCCACGCAGCCGCGGGGACAGCTCAGGGCTGGAGCCGGGGTGGGCCGAGCGGCGCCTGTGCCACGGGATGAGGGAGCCTGGCGGGGTTGGGTGGCGTCCCCTGGGGGTGGGCCGGGGGACCTGCGGGGCGCGGGGCCCTAATCGCCGCTGCGTGGCTTTGGCCGGCGCGTTAGGCTGCCCACGAGGCCTTCTGGGAGATGGAGTCCTCTAAGGGAGGCCTTCCGCATGGACCTCTGGGAAATGGAGTTCTCTAAGCCAGGACTTCCGCATGGCCCTCTGGGAAACGGAGTCCCTAGGTCAGGACTTCCGCGTGGCCTTCTGGGAAATGGAGTCCCCCAAGGCGGGATCCGCCTTCAGGGCTCTCTGGGAGATGGAATGTTCTAAGGCAGGGCGGCCGCGGGGCCCTCTGGGAAATGCAGTCCTCCAAAGTGGGACTTCCGCATGGCCCTCTGGGAAATGGAGTCCCCCAAGGCGGGACCCGCCTTCGGGGCTCTCTGGGAGACTGAATGTTCTAAGGCAGGGCGGCCGCGGGGCCCTCTGGAAGATGGAGTCCCCTGGGTCAGGACTTCCGGGGGCCCTGTGGGAGATGGATTGTTCTAAGGCAGGGCGCCCGCGGGGCCCTCTGGGAAATAGAGTCCTCTAAGGTAGGCTTCCGCGTGGCCCTCTGGGAGATGGAGTCCCCTGGGTCAGGACTTCCGGGGGCCCTCTGGGAGATGGACTGTTCTAAGGCAGGGCGCCCGCGGGGCCCTCTGGGAAATAGAGTCCTCTAAGGTAGGCTTCCGCGTGGCCCTCTGGGAGATGGAGTCCCCTGGGTCAGGACTTCCGGGGGCCCTCTGGGAGATGGACTGTTCTAAGGCAGGGCGCCCGCGGAGCCCTCTGGGAAATGGAGTCCTCCAAGGTGGGACACCCACGGGGCCCTCTGGGAAATGGAGTCCCCCAAGGCGGGACCCGCCTTCGGGGCTCTCTGGGAGACTGAATGTTCTAAGGCAGGGCGGCCGCGGGGCCCTCTGGGAGATGGAGTCCCCTGGGTCAGGACTTCCGGGGGCCCTCTGGGAGATGGACTGTTCTAAGGCAGGGCGCCCGCGGAGCCCTCTGGGAAATGGAGTCCTCTAAGTTAGGCTTCCGCGTGGCCCTCTGGGAGATGGAGTCCCCTGGGTCCTCTGGCAGAATGATCCCTGAGTGTCTGAGTCCAGGTGGAACCCACGTTCTCCTCCCAGACTCCGCTGCCCTGAGCTGGGGTGTCTTCTGCCCAGGAGGGGCTTCCCACGCTCCTGCTCTCCTGTCCCACGTGCTCAGGCCTTGATCTCTGCACTCTGTCCTAGATCCTTGTCCCGCTTCCCGTGAACCCTGGCTCTTGCCCTGGGAACTTACAGGAATTTCTAGAGCCGGCAGCTGGTCCCTGGTGGGAGGTGAACTTCATGGTGCGCCCTGCAGATGGCGCTGTGGGCGCACCCCTGGCCACCCTAGGTGCTTGCGGCTCTGCGGGTGGGTTCTCTTTGGACTGAAGATGATTTTAGGGTCTTGGAGGGGTGGGGTTGGAATTGTGGGGAGGGGCCGCATTTCCTGCTGGAATCCGCACTGTTTGGTTAGGCTCAGAGCCAGTCCAGCTGAAGCAGCCACTGGTCCCACAAACATCCTAATTAATTCCTATTTTAATTTGCCAACAAGGAAAGAAAGAAAAGCCCGTGACAGAAAAGTAAGACTGCGAGGAGACTTCAAATGAGAGGAAACAGCAGCCACCCTGCACCCCCGCTCCAGGCTTGTAAACTTACCTCGGAGCACCTGGTGCGATAGAGGCTGAAAATTTTTTTTAAATTGATTTATTTATTTGAAAGTCAGAGCTTCATAGAGAGAGCAAAGCCCTTCATTTGCTGGTTCATGCCTCAAATGGCTGCAATGGCCGGAACTGGGCTGATCCGAAGCCAGGAGCCAGGGGCTTCCTCTGTGTACCCCACATGTGTGCAGGGGTCCCGAGTACCTGGGCCATCTTCTGCTTTCCCAGGCCATTAGGGAGCTGGGTCGGAAGTGCAGCAGCCTGCACTCAAGCCGGCGCCCACATGGGATGCCAGTATCACAGGCTGGGGCTCTGCCAGCTACACCACAGCACCGCTGGGCCGAGCGTCCCGTGCTCCTCAGCCCTCCGCCCTCAGCCCGTGTTGGAGACGCTGCTGTCACTTCTGTGCTCCTCAGCCCTCCGCCCTCAGCCCGTGTTGGAGACGCTGCTGTCATATACTCCGTCCCTGTCGCTGGTGCCCCACGGCTCTCTATTGCTCAGCGAACCCCGTGGTGTGGATAACTGCAGTTTGCTTGTCCAGTCCCCGGGGGTGGGCGTGTGGTTCTCACTCGGGGCGATTGTGGGTAAGGCTGGCCCTGTGCACGTGTCGTCTGCACACCTAGGAGTCAGTCCCAGGCTGGGCAGGGGTTGACCCGTGTAGCGACCACCAGTGCTGTCTAGAGCGACCGCCTGGCTGTGGCCTCTGCTCGCCCTCACGCCCCAGGCCTGTTCCTCCATCAGTGTTTCCATTCCTTCTCGTGCTCCCTGGCTGCGTCTCCATGAGCCTGCCCTGCTGCCCTCTCTGACCTAGTGCGTGACACTGCTGCATGTCTAGCGTGGCCCTTCCTAACACCCTCACCTGTGGGGCTCACAGAGGAGAACCTGTCAGTGTCTGTGTCAGGTGCCTACATCTCCCGCTGTGTGGTAGAGAGCTTGACTGGGTGGTTCTTGTCACCTGGTGTCCCACACGGTGGCCTCTGCCGGACACACCCTACACCTGTGGGGCTCATGGAGGAGAATCTCCCAGTGTCTGTGTCAGGTGCCTACAGCATCTCCCACTGTGTGGTAGAGAGCATGACTGGGTGGTTCTTGTCACCTGTGTCCCACACGGTGGCCTCTGCCAGGTGCTCCTTGGGCCGAGCCAGTTTCCCCGGGAGGGGAGGTGTGTGTTTTGTTCATGTGTAGCTCAGTGAGTTACAGGGCTTTATCCGGAATAGAGACGGCAGCCCCAGCATTCCCTGAGGGTCTCCCGAGAGGCACAGAGGGCTTGCTGGCCCCTTGCACGTTTCAATGATTTGGCCAAGTTTCCCGGTCCTGGAGGAAGCAGTGTGAGAACTGCACATGCGGTCAGAGCAGGATGGCCCGTGCCCTCGGGTGGTGTGGTCAGAGCAGGATGGCCCGTGCCCTCAGGCGGTGTGGTCAGAGCAGGGTGTCCTGTCCCCTTGGGCAGGGATAGGCCGGGGAGCTGAGCCCCTGTCAACTTGCATGCAATGGAACTTTCTGAAGGGGGGGATTTTCCATTGCTGCTGTTTTCCTGCCCACTCCGCTCCGGCCAAATTCCCCCACCCAGTTAACTCTGGGAAGGAGGCGTGGGTGGTGTATGTTTGTTAAACATGTGTTTATTTGAGTGGCACAGGGACAGACACAGAGAGCGTCCGTTTGCCCGTTGACTCCTCAGGGAAGCACTGTGCACTTGTCACCCATGCATTGGAGGGACCACTGACAGCTTCAAGGATTTGGCTGTTACGTGTAGAACTGCCAGGACTAGAACCGGTGCCCGTATGGGATGCCGGTGCTTCAGGCCAGGGCTTTAACCCACTGTGCCACAGTGCTGGCCCCTCTAACTTCTTAGGACATGAGTGTTGGATCATCTATTGAGACCATGTTTAGCTTTGGAGAGCTGCCAGGCTGCTTTCCAGAGCGGTGAGCTAGTGCGAGCCCCTGTTCCACACCCTTCACGGCAGCTGATGCATCAGGGCGCAGGGCTACGTCGTCGTGTGACTTTTCTTCCTCATGGAAGGTGACGTTGAGCCTTAGTTTGCAAGCTTGTTTGACACCTGCATGTCCTCTGTGGTGAGGTGTCTGTTAGGTCTTCCTCATTTGTAATTTGGTTGTTTGCTTTCTCGTTGATTTTTACATCTTCTTATTGTGTTTTGGACACTATTTTTCAAGGTATGCCTGTTTTAGTGATGTCTACCAGTCTGTGGCTTGTCCTCTTGTTTGCTTTATAGTATTTTTCAAAATAGAAGTTTTAGGGGCCAGCGTTGTGGCGCAGTAGGTTAATCCTCCGCCTGTGGTGTTGGCACCCATGTGGGTGGCAGTTCGAGTCCCAGCTGCTCCTCTTCCCATCCAGCTCTCTGCTGTGGCCTGGGAAAGCAGCAGAAGATGGCCCAAGTCCTTGGGCCCCTGCACCCGCATGGGAGACCTGGAGGAAGCTCCTGGCTCCTGGCTTTGGATCGGTGCAGCTCCGGCCATTGCGGCCAATTGGGGAGTGAACCAGCGGATGGAAGACCTTTCTCTCTGTCTCTCCCTCTCACTGTCTGTAACTCTACCTCTCAACTAACTAAATAAAAAATATTAAAAAAAAAGAAAAGAAAATACAGTTAAGCAGGGCTGGCATTGTGGTGCAGTGGTTTACTACATGGCTGCCACAAAACACCAAACACCAGAGTAAGGGAAAGGATTGATTGGTGGGGAAACCTGACAGACTGGAGGGAAGAGGTGAAGAGGGAAAAAGAGAGAGAAGGAAAGCGCAAGAGAGAAAGATCAAGAGAGAGAGAGAGAGCAAGAGAGCCGTGTATTCAGGAACAGGTCCTGTTAAACCTTTAAAAAATACAAGTTTTAAAAGATTTATTTATTTGAAAGGCAGACACACATAGCTGGGCAGAGAGAGAGCTTTTCCATCTGCTGATTCACTCCCCAAATGCCTGCAACAGTTGGGACTGGGCCAGGCTGAAGGCAGGAACCAGAAACTCCACCCAGGTCTCCCACTTGGGTGACAGGGACCCAAGCACTTGGGCACCTTCTGCCTCTCAGGTGCCTTAGCAGGAATCTGGATTGGAAGCGTCGAGTAGCTGTGACCTGAACCAGGCACTTGGACATGAAATTCTGACATCCCACGTGGTGAATTAACCCATGGAGCCACAACATCCACCCCCACAGAGCAGAGTTTAGTTCTAACAAAGTCTGCATTGTCAGTTATTTTCTCCCATGGGTTGGTTTTTAGGCTTGCACTTAGAAACTTATCATGAAATACATGTACATATTCGTTTTATTCTAGGATTTTTATGGTCACATTTTAAATATAAGCACATGGTTCACTTTGAGTGAATTGCTGAATGTTCTAAGGTGTGTGTCTGTTTTTTCCCACATGGTTTCCAGCTGTCCCTTCACCAGCTGTGGCGTAGACATTCCTTTTCTGTTGAGTTGCCTTGTCCTGTTGACAGTTGGCTGCTTTTGCCCTGGTCTGTCTGGGGCCCTGCATTCACCTCTACTTATCCATCTGTCCGATGCTGCAGTTGATTTCTCAACAGTGTTGCAGTGGATTCGTTTCTGAGATGAGGAGCAGTGGTGGGGGCAAGAGGCGCAGAGTCACCACACAGACCCCGGAAGTCGGTGAAAGCAGGCCAGAGGTGAGCAGCCCGCAGACTCATTTATTTCAGTTAGTACAACAGCTTATATAGCCAAGACCAGCCAATCTGGTCAAGGGGCGGTCTAGGGGGCGGTCTATGCCCCAACCAATCACAGCCTGTTGCCAGGCAGTTTCCAAAGCCATCCAGTCACAGCCTGTTGCCAGGCAGGCTCTGTTGCCAGGTGGGTTTCAAAGCCATTCCTGAGTAACTGACGCTCGCTTGCCAGTGGCCATCTTGGCATGGCCTCCTCATTCCACCACAGTCCACTCCATCACTAGCGTCTCATTCACGCCATCACCATGGCTCCATGTTAACCGTTGGGATCCAGGGATCCAGATGTGCTAGTTTTTGACAGCTGGACTTCTTCAAGCAGGTATCATCTGTTCTGGAATTTGATGCAGTTTCCTGGGAATCTGTGGTTTCATTTAGTTTCTGTGTCAAAGTTGAAAGAATTTTCAGGGCCGGCATTGTGATGTAGCAGGTAAAGCTGCCACCTGCTACACTGGCATCTCCTATGGGCACCAGTGTGAGGCCCAGCTGCTCCACTCCCTGCTAATGCACCTGGGAAAGCAGTGGAAGATGGCTCAAGTGCTTGGGCTCTTGCACCCATCTGGGAGACCTGGAAGAAGCCCCTGGCTCCTGGATTTGGCCTGGCCCAGCTTTGGCCGTTGAAGCCATTTTGGGGAGTCAACCCACAGATGGAAGATCTCTCTGTAACTCTGCCTTTCAAATAAATAATAAATAAATCTTTTAAAAAATTAAAAAGGAATTTTCTTCTTAACAACATTGAGTTGAATAATGAATATTTGCCTTGATCTGTATTTCATTTGGTTTCTTTGAACAGCGTGTCAAGGTTTTCTGAATACATGTTTATGCTTTTTAAAGATTTTTTTGCTTTACGGACATCCATTTTATGCAGTGGAATTGTTGAAGGTATTACTTTTTAAAATTTTCATATTGCAGTTTTCAAATTTCAATTTTTCTTATACATCATTACTGATGTAGACCAAAGCAAATGACTTTTATGTATGACCTTGAACTTTGACTCCTTATCTCCATCCATTCCTGTCATGGCCAGGGCGGTGGGCTCTGTCTCCAGCTGAATCTCCCTCCAGTCAGGGCTTGGAATGGCCAGAGCCGTGAATTGCGGGATCAGGGGGACTGCCGCCAGGGGGCGCCCAGGCGCTGCGGAGAGCGTGCGGAGTTCCTGTGCCGCGCCCCGTGGCAGCCAGGGGGGCGCCCGTTCGGTACTGGCGCAGGCGTTTCCTCCTCCAGTGTGGGTCCAGTTTGCCCGCATCACACTTTGACTATCATTGCTTTGTGTTAAGATTCGAAAGCGAGAAGTGTGAATCTCCTTAGTGTGTTTCTGCAGGGTGCTTTGACCCTGGAAGTTCCCTGTGGATGTTAGGGTGATTTTCCCCATGTGTGGCCCCGATCTTAGAGGTAGTGAAAGGATCGCGTTGAACCTGCAGCTTGCTTTGCTTTGTGGGTCCACAAGTCAGTTTTAAGTGTTCTGTTGGGTGAGGTTGATGTGTCTTCACATTTATTTATTTAAAAATTTTTTTTCTATTTATTTATTTGACAGGTAGAGACAGAGAGAAAGGTCTTCCTTCCGTTGGTTCACTCCCCAAATGGCTGCTAGAAGCTGGCGCTGTGCCAATCTGAAGCCAGGAGCCAGGTGCTTCCTCCTGGTCTCCCATGGGGTGCAGGGGCCCAAGCACTTGGGCCATCCTCCACTGCCTTCCCAGGCCACAGCAGAGAGCTGGACTGGAAGAGGAGCAACCGGGACTAGTACCTGGCGCCCATGTGGGATTTATTTTGGTTTTCTTTAATATCATTCGGTAATAACTTATAATCTTCAGGGAGTGAGTCTTGCCCCAACACCAGATTTATTCTCCATCATGTTATTGGGGTTGACATCGTTTAAGATTCAGTTTTAAAATTTACTCTCCTGATTGCTCATTCCTGGTGTGGGGTGGGTCTTTGTGTGTTGGGGCTGTGGTGTTCACTTCCCTGGGCGGGTTTACCAGCTCTGATGCTGTGTTATGTACTCCTTAGTGTGATCTTTCTTCCTGTTGCCTCATTGCTCTGCAGAGAACGTGCAGTGTGGTGTTGAACACACAGGGGACGTGGGTGTCCCGTCCCTGCCCTGCCCCTCAGCTCAGGCCTACAGCTTTCAGGGAGCATCACCGAGTGTGATGTTTGCTCTGTGGTTTGCCCAAACACTCTGTCCTGTTGAAATTCTCTCCAGAATTCATTCTCTTTTTAAAAGATTTATGCCTTGGATTGAAAGAGAGGGTGGGAAGGAGAGAGAGAGAGAGAGAGAGAGAGAGAGAGAGAGAGAGAGAGGTTTTTGCCTACCCTGAACCATTCCCCCAAATGGCCACAAAAGCCAGGATGCTGCCAGGTTGAAGCCCGGAGTCTGGAACTCCATCTGGGTCTCCCACTGTAAGTGGTGGGAACCCAAATACGTGAGCCCTCACCCACTGCCTCCCAGGAACATTATCAGGAAGCTGGGTCACACGTGTGGAAAGGTTGGGAATCAAAGCAGCACCCCCACATGGGTGCGGGCATGGCAAGCCTCAGCTGCACCTGCAGCACCCAATGCCAGGCCTGGAAGTTCCCTTCTTTATCTGATCAGTGGGCACTTTTAAGCATCACTACGTGGTTGTGGATTTATTGAAGCTGTTTCTGCATCTGGTGGGATGATCAGGTGGAGCTTTTCATTATTCTGTGAATGTGATGTTTCACATGGATGAGTGTTCTGTTGTTCAACCTTGATTTTCTGAAAGATATCTTAATCTAGCATGTGATGCTTTAATGTGCTATTGCTTTAAGTTTGTTGTGGAAGGTTTTTGGGTGTGCATTTATAACAGTTTTCTGTCATGTGATGTCAGGTGATTGAGGTTGTAATGTGGGGGATGGGCTTGATTTTGTGTTGAAGTTATCACACAAGCAATAGGGATTTGAGTTTCACAATGTCATGGTGAACAGATTGGGTTTTTTACAAATTTATTTATTTGCTCCAAGAGGCAGAGTTACAGGCAGAGAGAGAGGTCTCCTATCCACTGGTTCACTCCCCAAATGGCTGCAATGGCTGGAGCTGGCTGATCGGGAGACAGGAGCCAGGAGCTTCTTTCAAGGTCTCCTACGTGGGTGCAGGGGCCCAAGGACTTGAACCATCTTCTGCTCTTTTCTCAGGCCCATTAGCAGGGAGCTGTTTTGGAAGGGTAGGAGCTGGGTCTCAAACCAGTGCCCATATGGAATGCTGGCACTGCAGGCGGATGCTTAACCTACTACGCCACAGTGCCAGCACTCAGATTGATTTTAAGAGCTAGAAAGTAGCATCAAGGAAAAAATAGAATTGGAGGTTATGTGTGAGGTCAAGATTAAGATTAGGGTTAGAGGTGGAGTGTCATGGTTTAGGGTGAAGGTTAGGATTAGGATATACAGTTTGGGGTTTAGGGTTTTAGAAGCAGGGTTTAGGGTTTGTGTTAGGATGAGAGGTGGGGTTCAAGATTAGGGCTGGGATTAGGATTAGGGGTTAGAGGTTGGAGGTTAAGATTAGGGTTATGGTTTACTGTTAGGGTTTAGGATTCAGGTTAGGGGTTGGGGTTGGGTGGAGGGTCAGGATGTTAGAGTTGGGGTTAGAGTTAAGGTCCCCAGTTGGACATACAATGATGCCTGTGCCTTCCTCTGTTGGGAACAGCTAATGCGCATGTGCACGCTGCAATTAGGCGTGTTGCTGCAAAAGGGCAGGCTGCTGGTTGGCCACTCAGTGTGCATGTGCTGTCCCCAGTTGGAGTTGCAATGGCTCACATGGGGTCCTGTGTTGGGGATGGCCACTGCACCCTGCATGCTGCCATTATGCTGTCACTGCAGGCGTGGGTCACCTGAGAGACATCCAGTGTTCATGTCTGGTCCTCCAATTGGATTCACAGTGGCTCATGCAGGGTCCTGTGTTGGGGATGGCCACTGCACCCTGCATGCTGCCATTATGCTGGTCACTGCAGGCGTGGGTCACCTGAGAGACATCCAGTGTTCATGTCTGGTCCTCCAGTTGGATTTGCAATGGCTCACACAGTGTCCTGTGTTGGGGATGGCCACTGCATACCTGCATGCTGCCATTATGCTGGTCACTGCAGGCGTGGGTCACCTGAGAGACATCCAGTGCTCATGTCTGGTCCTCCAGTTGGATTTGCAATGGCCCACACAGAGTCTACTGCATGGGGATAGGTGCTTTGAATGAGCTGACATGTCACTGGGTTTGCCCTGGTTGTATCTGCAGTGGCAAATGGGTGGTGACTGCGCATGCTCAGGCCTATCTGAGCCACCAAACTCGCATGGGAGGTCCCCTGTTGGATCTGCAGTGCCTTGGGCAGCCACTGCACATGCACGGGCAGTGTGTGAGCAACCAAATCCGCGTGCAGCATCCCCAGTGGGGTTTGCAGTGGCTTCAGCCGGTCACTGCTAACGTGTGGGCAGCCTGTGAGAAAACAGATGCACGTGCATGGTCACCAGTTGGGTTTGCAATGGCTTGGGCTGCCCACTGCGTGTGTGTGGCAGCTTTGAGTCCCTAGACACGCATGTGCTGTCCCCAGTTGGATTTGCAGGCCGTTGACGGCAACTGCTCATGCTTTGGCTGCCTGTGAGCCACACGCATGCGCAGTCCCCAGTTGGATTTCCAGTTATGTGTGGGCCTTGCTCTGGTGGGGCAAGCTACTGGGCATGTGCTGGCCACAATTAGGAATGTCAGTGCACATTCTTGGGCCACATATGAGCCACCAAAAGTGCATGCTCGGTCCCCAGCTGGATTTGCAATGGCTTGGTGTCGACTACACATGCGTGGGCTGCCTGAGAGTCACCAGATGCACATGTGCAATCTCCTGTTGGGTTTGCACGCACCTTGTAAGGTCTTCTGGTGGGGATGGCCCCTTACCATGTGCAGGTGCTGTTAGGCTGGTCACTGTGTATGCTTGGTTCCCAGGTGAGCCACCAACTGAGCATGCGTGTTTCCCAGTTGGATTTGCCAGGTGTCATGCAGGGGCCTGTGGTGAGGACGGCCACTGCACATGTGCAGGCTGCCATTAGGCTGATCGCTGTGCATGCTGGGTCACCTGTGAGCAGCCACATGGGCATGCATAGTCCCCAGTTGGATTCACAGTGGCTCGTGGGTAGTCTGCAGGTGGGATCTCCACTTTGAATGTGCTGGCTCTCATTTGTCTGCCCGCAGGTGGATTTGCAATGGATTGGGCTGGCCACTGCACATGGGTGGGCCACCTGTGAGCCACCAAATGTGCATGTGCAGTCCCTATTGGATTTACAATGATGCATGCACCTTCCTCTCGTGGGTGTGGCCACTGCGCATGTAGGCTGCAGTTAGGAGTGTCACTGTGGGTGCTGCTGCCGACCGTTAGTGCATGTGCAGTCCCCAGTTGGATTTGCAAAGGCATAGGCAGAGGCTCCTGGTGGGGACAGCCACTTGACTTGCACAGGCCACCATTACTCTGGTCACTCTGCATGCTGTGGTTCCCAGTGAGCCACTGCACTTGCGTGCCTGGTCCTCAGTTGAATTTGCAATGTCTTGGGCTGCCAATTGCACGTGTGTGGGTCTCTGAGCCCCCCAAACATGCATTTGTAGTTCTCAGTTGTGTTTGCATTGAATCGATCAGGCACTTCACATGCATGGGCAGTCTGTGAGCCACACAACGCACATGTGCTGTCCCCAGTTGAATTTGCAATGGCATGGAGGGCGACTGTGTGACTGCATGTGGATGAGCTCCCTATTAGCCACCGAATGTGCATGTTCAGTCCCCTGTGGTGTTTGCAAAGGTGCATGCAGAGGCTTCTGAGGGGACAAGCACTTGACTCACACAGGCCTCCATTACTCCAGTGGCTGCATGCTGTGGTCCCAAGTGAGCAACCACATGCATGCCTGGCCTCCAGCTGGACTTGCGATGGTTGGGCCTGTGGGTTAGCAAATGTGCATGCATGGGCCCAGTTCAATTTGCAATGCGTGAGTGGTGACTACACATGCACAGGCAGCCTGTGAGTCACCAAACGCACATGTGCTGTTCCCAGTTGGTGTCCAATGGCTTGGGTGGTGACTGTGATGCTTGGGCCACATTGGAGCCACCAAACCCACAGTCATGGTCCCCTGTTGTATTAGCAGTGGTGTGGGCCAGCCACTGCCCATGCTTGGAATGTCTGTTATCCACCAAACACAGAAGTGCGGTTCCCAGTTGGATATGGAATGGCTTGGGCAGAGACTGCTCATTCTTGGGCTGCCTTCGAGCCAACAAACACATAGGCACCATTGCCATCCCTGGTTTGGACCTGCCATTCATGTGGCAACCTTTGAAACCCCAAATGTGCATATGCTGTCCCTAGTTGGAAGTGCATTGGCTTGGGCAGCATCTGAGCATGTTTGGTCCTTCTACAGCCCACCAAATATGCATGTTCAGTCACCAGTTGGGTTTGAATGGTTTTGGCTGGTCCTCCTTTCTTTCCAAATATCTCCATGGGCATGGTGAACCGAACACACACACGTGCAATGTTTATGTTTTCCCCTGAAAGAAAAAAAAAAAACAGCCAAGCCATTGTGATCATCTGGGAAGTGAACCAGCAGATGGGAGATTTCTCTCTCTGTGTGTCTCTCTTCCTCTCTCTCTCTAGCTCTGACTTGCAAATAAAAATAAATCTTAAAACACAGAAAAGCAATGGTTGGCTGAACTGTCCATCCATTCTCATTTGTGGGAGCCCTGTGGCCCCCAATGTGATCCAGTGAATTTCACTGATGCTCTTACTGGCCTCCATACCGATGGTTGTCTGATTGCTGTGGTGGTTAATGCTGTGTTGAGTGGGTGTTTATCTTATTAGTGATCGTCTCTAAAAACTCTGCCCCTCCTTGACTTTTCAGGGATCTTGCAAAATCACTTATCATTTGTTCACCTTAATATTACAGCCAATATGATGCGCCATTGGGGAGTATAGAAAATGGCTTATCTTTAATGTTAGTAACTGCAAGAAAAAAAAAAAAAACAAAAACAAAACTGAATGTAGAAAAGTGGGGAACAAAAAAGAAAAAGTGACTAAAACCAAAATACTGTGTTAACTTGGATTTGCTCAAGTACCAACTGACAGAATTTTGAAGAACAAGACACAGATGACACAAGCACATTGTAAAGGAGTGATCAAGCCAGCTCCAGGCATGTTCTCAGGGGGATTCTGTGCCTCGCACCAGACGAGACCTTGGCAGCCAAGACAGCTGTGGGCCCTGCTACAGCTCTCCTCACCACTCCAGCAGCACTGCCACGTTCCATGTCACATACCAGATCATTTCTGACAAACATGCAAAACGTAGTCTCAAAGTCGGATGGGAAAAGGGAGACATTTGTGAAGTTCTGTAAGTCTGATGAGCCATGTCAGAAATCAGTCACACTATCATTTTTACCTTTACCTTTAAGGGCGTTGGAATGTTGGTTGTTTGCCAAGTTCTGTCACTGAAGAATGCGTGACAGCACTGATCGCTCGGCTGTCTGCCTGTGACGGGGGAGCCCTCACAACACTTCAGCAACAGCGCAGCCTCGGTGTGGCCACAGCCCCTGCCCTGCAGTCTCCAGCTGCCCTCGTCTGCCTGTGACGGGGGAGCCTCTCACAGCACTTCTGCAACAGTGCAGCCTCGGTGTGGCCACAGGCCCTGCCTGCAGTCTCCAGCTGCCCTTGTCCCATGCTGTGCAATGGATTTCTAATTTGTGCAACAACCGGCGGTTACTGGAGAAGAGTAGGTAAGCTGTTGCTTTCTGTAATCTTCATAGGAGCTTTAGAATCAATTTTAAATTCATTTTATCTTATTTTAAATTGACAGATAGCTGTATATATGTGGCATACAGTATAGTGGTACACGGCCTATAAACCTTGTCAGATGATTAAGTGAGGATAATTTTTTAAAGTATTCATTTATTTATTTGAAAGGCAGAGATACAGAGGGGCTGAGATGGGGGGAGAGAGAGAGAGAGGTCTTGCATCTGTTGGTTCACTCCCCAGATGGCTGCATCGGACAGAGCTGTGCTGATCTGGAGCCAGGAGCTTCCTCCAGGTCTCCTACATGGGGCCAGGGGCCCAAGGACTTGGGCCATCTTCTACTGCTTTCCCAGGCCACAGCAGGGAGCTGGATCAGAATGTAGCTTCCAGGACTCGAACCGGCACTCATATTGGATGCCGGCACTGCAGGTGGCAGCTGTAACTGCTAAGCCACAGTGCTGGCCACAAGTGGGCATAATTAACATATCCATCATCTTATCATTTCTTTGGAATGACAACACTGGCAGAAAACCCAGAGGTTCTTGTCCTATGCCTTTGCCAGCAGAAGCACACTCACCACAGTGTGAGCTGAGAGCAGCAATTTAAATTTAAATTGCACAATTCAGGAACAAGGTGGCTTTAATCAGAAATCGGGTTTCTGCAAGAGCCAGGAGTTAAAGGTTTTAACTTCCAGGGAAGTTTTATATGCTCCCTGAGTTTATGGGACGTCCCCAGGAGGGTTGCTCAGGTTCAGGGAGGAGCAGGTTTCTTTGCCATCTGTGTCGTCGTGTGTGCTGCATGTGTTTCAGGTTGGCTGCTGTTGGACGTTTATCATTATAATGGAGTTGGATTTCTGTGCCAGGAAGGAGATGGTGAGGGTCCTGGCCCTGCTTTTACAAGGGTGCAGCAAAGGCCAGCGCTGCGGCTCACTAGGCTAATCCTCGGCCTTGCGGCGCCGGCACACTGGGTTCTAGTCCTGGTCGGGGTGCCGGATTCTGTCCCGGTTGCCCCTCTTCCAGGCCAGCTCTCTGCTGTGGCCAGGGAGTGCAGTGGAGGATGGCCCAAGTGCTTGGGCCCTGCACCCTCATGGGAGACCAGGAGAAGCACCTGGCTCCTGCCTTCGGATCAGCGCGGTGTGTTGGCCGCAGCGCGCTGGTTGCGGTGGCCATTGGAGGGTGAACCAACGGCAAAGGAAGACCTTTCTCTCTGTCTCTCTCTCACTGCCACTCTGCCTGACCAAAAAAAAAAAAAAAAAAAAAAAAACCAAGGGCGCAGCAAACCTGATGCAGCTGAGTCAGAATTGCAGGCAGCTCCTTAATGAGAAGTGTTAGAAGTGTTAGCTGCTGAGCTTGGCTGCATCCAATCAGCTTCCCCCGCCCCTTTATTTGCAAGAACACCTGGGGATGGGTAGTGTCAGCAAGCTTTTTCGCCAAACTTACACTGTTTTCTTGAGCGGGAGGAATGGTTTCTGTGTTGGCTCTCGTTGCTTAGAACTTAAAGATTCAAAGGTGTACACGGCGTCACTGTCTGGCTGCTTCCTGCTGTCATCTGGGACATGAGGCCAGATTGGTTTTAACCAGGAAGTGAACGAATTTCCAGGGTTGGTGAGCCCGTTTCTGTGGAGGTGGAAGTTCTGGGAACAGGAAGGCCTGGCCTTCCTTGGCTACGAATGAAAGTGGCTGGAGAATGACGAAGGCAGGGACTGCCACGCAGCTGAGAACAAGCCACAGAGGGGTGAGTAAACTGAACCAGGAGAACTGGGGGCCTGGGGACATGGTGCAGCCCCACCGGGTTTCAGTCTTTGTTCTTAGCCACATGGACGTGCGATTCAGTGCCTGAAGAGTGCTTAATCACACTGGACAGGTTTGTCAAACTCGGGGGGCTATGGGGCCGCAGCCTCCTCTGGACTCTGCAAGGAGAGAAATGGGAGGCAGCCCTTCCTAGCCAGGGAATGTGTGCTTGAGGGCTGGCCCCTGGCTGCACTCGAGGAGGCCAGGCTGGGGACTGATGTGACTAAGTCGTGCCTTACGCCCCTCTGTAGCTTCCTTCAGTTTGCCTCAGGTCTGCTTCCAGGCAGTTGGTGAACTTACAAAGGTTAAGTGGCCTTGCAGCTCTTGCCGTCACCGTGAAGTCGGCTCACACTTCCACTCTGGATGACTGATGCTGGAGGTCCCATCCCTGTGGGATTTCCTTGCTCTTGTCATTTTTGCACAGAACTCACACTCTGGGCTGACTTCCTGGATGGCAGTGATCACTTTCTATCCAGCCACACACTTACAGAGGCGTAGAAATGGACTCTTTCCATGATGAGCAGTCACGTGCAGCCTTAGCAGTGTGGTAGACACAGTGTTCAGGTATACAAGGTCTTTCTCAGGATTCCAGTACCAACCACTGCTACACTGATGGAAACCCACAATTCTCTTTGACGGACGTCTGAATTCCTATCCAAGGGGCAGCTCTTGAACAAGCTGAAAGTTGGAGTGAGGGCCATATGGAGTGTTGATTTATAGAGGGAGAGGCTGTTGACTGGTTGATCCAGGTGATTTTTCTGGATTCCCTGGCCAGCTATTCCCTAACTGCTATTTTAGTGGGACGTGTATTTCCACATGTAACTTTTTGTTAGAGGATCCCTTTTTTTTTTTTTTTTTTTTTTTTTTTTTTTTTTTTGTTATCTGCCATTAAAAATCCTCCTTTCTTTCCAGATATCTCCCTGGGTGTGGAGAGCCAAACACACACACGTGTGGAATCGGGACAAATGTGTGTTTTGAAAGCAAAGCAAAGGGCAAAATGTCTGCTCCTGTTCAACGCCCAGCTCTGAACTGCATTGCTTGCATTCTTGTTAAGTTTTCCAGGTTCTTTACATGTAAGGGATAGTAGTCCTTTGTCAGATGAACAGATTATCAGTATGTCTCTCATTCTGTGGATTGTTTTTCCTGCTGTGCAGAAGCCTCTGAGTCTGATAAAATCACATTTGTCTGGTTTTCTTCCTTTTCTCTTGATCTTTTTAAAACCATTGCCTATGGAGATGTCTTGGTGTTTCCCCTGTGATCTCATCTGAGCGCTTATTTTTCAACCTTACGTTGAGATCTTTGATCTGTTTTGAGTAAATGATTGCATAGGGTGGGGAATTGGCCCAGTTCAGTTATCTGCGTGTGGACATGCAGTCTTCCAGGCACCATTTAGTAGAGACACTGTCCTTTCTCTGTGTGTTTTGGGCACCTTTGTCCACGGCAAGATGGCTGTGGATGCTGGGTTCATTTCTTCGATCTTTACTCAGTTAATTAATCTTTGTGACTGTCTTCATGCCAGGATCATGTCGGTGTTGTTGGAATAGTAGAAGGGCTTGAAGTCTGGTGTTCTTGTGCTTCCAGCTGTATTATTTTTGTTCAAGTCTGATTTGTCCATTTGAGGACTTTGGTGCTGCTATGTGAATTTCAAAGTTGTTTCTTATTGTTCTTTGGAGAATGTAATTGGTAGTTTTGTGACGACTACATTGAATCTTTCAATCTCTTTGTGTAGTATGGACAATTTATTGTTTTCCAGACGAGGACAGGCATTGTGGCATAGCAGTGGCGCCACCACCTGTGACACCTGCATCCCCATGCAGCAGTTCCTGTCCTGGCTGTTCCACTTGCAATCCAGCCACATGCTAATGGCCTGGGAAAAGTAATGGAAGATGGCTCAAGTCCTTTGGCCTCTGCCATTCCTGTGGAGACCTGGATGAAGCTCCTGGCTCCTGGCTTGAGCCTTTCCTAGTGCTGGCCATTGAGGCCACTAGGGGAGTGAACCAGCAGATACAGGACCTACCTTCCCCCCATCCCACTCTAACTTTCAAATAAATCATTTTTAAAAGGTAAATAAATACGTTTTCCAACCATGAATATGGGGGGCCGTTCTTCTGTTTTAGCTCCTTCATTTCTTTCATTACTGCTGTGTCATTATCATTGGAGGAGTCTTTACTATTTATGGTTTAATTTATTCCATTTAAATTTTTTTTGTAATTATTAATGGAATTGGTCTTGTAACTTCTTTCTCACAGTTCATTGTTTGTTTATACAAATGCTAATTAGCTTTGCACATTGAATTTGTACCCTGCAGCTACTGGATTTGTTTTCCAGTTCTAATATTCTCTTGCAGGAGTCTGCAGGTTTCTCCCAAGTAGAATCCTGTCATCTGCAAACAGGGACAGTTGGACTTCCTCCTTTCCTATTTGTATGCATTTTACTTGTTTCTCTTGCCTAATTGCTTTCGTGATAACTTGCTGTGCTGTATTGAATAAGAGTGGTGGTTGTAGACATTCTTTTCAGATTCCAGATCTTTGAGGAAATCCTCTTAGCTGTGAGTTTGTCCAACATAGCCTGTACCGTTGGGACATACCCCTTCTATGCTGAGTTTGTTCAAGGTTTCTTTTTTTTTTTTTAAGATCTATTTATTTATCTGAAAGTGGAGTTAGAGAGAGGAGAAGCAGAAAGAGTGAGAGAGAGGGAGAGGGAGAGAGAGAGGTTGGTCTTCCATCCGATGGTTCACTCCCCAATTGGCCACAACGGCCGGAGCTGTGCCAGTCCGAAGCCAGGAGCTTCTTCCAGGTCTCCCACGCGGGTGCAGGAGTGCAAGGACTTGGGCCATCTTCTACTACTTTTTTTTTTATTTAATGAGCATAAATTTCCAAAGTACAGCTTATGGATTACAATAGCTTCCTCCCCCATAACTTCCCTCCCACCCACAACGCTCTCCTCTCCCACTCCCTCTCCCCTTCCCCTTCACATCACGATTAATTTTCAATTATCTTTATATACAGAAGATCAATTTAGCATATGTTAAGTAAAGATTTCCACATTTTGCTCCCACATAGAAACACAAAGTGTAAAATACTATTTGAGTACTAGTTATAGCATTAATTAAACACCTAAGAGTAATTGTGTATTAATTACAGAGTTCAACCAATAGTTTTAAGTAGACTATAAAATGCATCTTTTGTATTGTTGTGGCTCCCCCCCCCCCCGACCTCCCTCCCTCCCTCCCGTGGCCCTCCCCTTACCCACTCCCTCTCCCATCCCGCCCTGCATCGAGTTTCATTTTCAATTACCTTGATATACTGAAGATCAAGTTAGTATATACTAAGCAGGGATTTCAACAGGTTGCACTCACACAACCGAACCAGCTATAGGGTATTGTTCGACTAGTAGTGTTGTTTTTGAGTTTCATAGTTAAACATATTAAGGACAGAGATCCTGCGTGGGGAGCATGAACCCAGTGACTCCCGTTGTTGATTTAACAATTGGCACTCTTATTTATGATGTCAGTAATCACCCGAGACTCTTGCTATGAGCTGTCTAGGCTATGGAAGCCCCTTGAGTTCAGCAACTCTGAATTTGTTTAGTCAAGGCCATACACAGTGGAGGTTCCTTCCTCCCTTCAGAGAAAGGTGCCTCTCTCCTTGGCCATCTTCTACTACTTTCTCAGGCCATAGAAGAGAGCTGGATTGAAAGAGGAGCAGCCGGGTCTCGAACCAGTGCCCATATGGGATGCTGGCGCTTCAGGCCAGGGTGTTAACCAGCTGCACCACAGCGCCGGCCCCATGTGCAAAGTTTCTAAATGAGGAGAGATTGTTTAATTGTATCTAGTGATTTCTCTGTCGAGGTGATCGTATGAGCTTTCTCCTTCCTTCTATTGAAGTGGTTAGTGATAGGTTTCTTGGTGTGCACAGGTTGAATGTACCTGAATCCCTGTGATAAACCCCAGTTGATCAGTATGAATGATTTTTTGTTAAGTTCATTTTGCTAGAGTTGGTTGAGGATTTTGCAGCTGTGTCTACTGGGGACACTGACTTGTAATTTTATTTTTTGGTTGTGTCCTTGCCTGGTTTTGAAGTAGAGGTAATGCTGTCCTCCTAGAATGAATTTGGAAGGTTTCCCTCCCTTTGAATTTTTAGGGGCTACTTTGAGATTAATCAGTTTGGTTCTTACTGAGAGTTTGCTAAAATGAAGCCATGAAGCCATCTGGTCCTGGGCTTTTCCTTGCTGGGAGCTTTTTTCTTACTGCTTCCAACTCTCAGCTTATTGTTGGTCTCTCTTCATGCTGCAGGTGTGGTAAGTCACACCTACAGAGTTTTATCTCTTTTTTTTTGACGGGCAAAGTTAGACAGTGAGAGAGAGACAGAGAGAAAGGTCTTCCTTTTCCCATTGTTTCACCCCCCCAAGTGGCTGCTACGGCCAGCTCGTTGTGGCCAGCATGCTGCACCGATCTGAAGCCAGGAGCCAGCTGCTTCCTCCTGGTCTCCCATACAGGTGCAGGGCCCAAGCACTTGGGCCATCCTCCACTGCCTTCCCAGGCCACAGCAGAGAGCTAGACTGGAAGAGGAGCAACGGGACAGAATCTGGTACCCCGACTGGGACTAGAACCTGGTGTGCCGGCACTGCAGGCGGAGGATTAGCCTAGTGAGCCACGACGCCAGCCCTTATCTTTCTCTTAATGGTTCTCAAATTTGTTGGCATGTGGTTTTCACAATCTATAATGGGCAGTGATGTTTCTGTGTTATCATATGCGTTGTCACATTTTCATGTCTGCTATTGACTTGAGTCTTCTGTTTTTATTGTCTACCTAAAAATTTGTTCACAAGTGTATTTTTTTAAAGATTTATTTTATTTATTTGAAAGAGTTACAGAGAGACAGAGGCAGAGAGAGGTCTTCTATCTGCTGGTTCACTCCCCAGTTGGCCATAATGGCTGAAGCAGTGCTGATCCAAAGAAGGAGCCTCTTCCAGGTCTCCCACGTGGGTAAAGGGGCCCAAGGATTTGGGCCATCTTCCACTGCCTTCCTAAGCCATAGCAGAGAGCCGGGTCAGAAGTGGAGCGGCTAGGACTTGAACCTGCACCCTTATGGGATGCCCATGATGCAGACTGGCGCTTTAACCTGCTGTGCCACAGCACCAGCCCCCACAACAGTATTTTTTCCTTCATACTACCTGAACTCTTAGTGTAGAGTTACCCTTAGGAGTATAAAGTAAACTAAAAATAGATTTTTGTAAAAATTAATGGAAATAGGAGAGGGAGGAGGAAGAAGGGTTGGAGCGTGGGTGGGAGGGAGGGAAGGATGGGGAATATCACTATGTTCCTAGATCTGTATATAGGAAATACATGAAACTTGTATACCTTAAATAAAATTTAGCCTCCGAAGCGGCCAGCTGCTTCAAAATGAAGCTGAATACCTCCTTCCCAGCCACTGGCTGCCAGAAACTCATCCAAGTGCACAATGAACGTAAACTTCGTACTTTCTATGAGAAGTGTATGGCCACAGAAGTTGCTGCCGACACCCTGGGTGAAGAATGGAAGGGTTATGTGGTCCGGATCAGTGGTGGGAATGACAAACAAGGTTTTCCCATGAAGCAAGGTGTCTTGACCCATGGGCGGGTCCACCTTCTGCTGAATAAGGGGCATTCCTGTTACTGACCAAGGAGAACTGGAGAAAGAAAGCTCAAATCAGTTCGGGGCTGCATTGTTGATGCCAATTTGAGTGTTCTCAACTTGGTCATTGTAAAAAAAAAAGAGAGAGAGAGATTCCTGGATTGACAGATACCACGGTGCCTTGTCGCCTGGGTCTTAAAAGAGCCAGCAGAATTCGTAAGCTTTTCAGTTTCTCTAAAGAAGATGATGTATGCCAGTATGTTGTAAGAAAAGCCCTTAAACAGGGTAAGAAACCTAGGACCAAAGCACCCAAGATTCAGCGTCTAGTTACTCCATGTGTCCTGCGACACAGACGCCGGTGAATTGCTCTGAAGAAACAGTGTACTAAGGAGAACAAGGAGGAGGCTGCAGAATATGCTAAACTCTCAGCCAAGGGAATGGAGGAGGCCAAAGAAAAACGCCAGGAATGGATTGCCGGGAGATGTGGGCTGTCTTCTCTGAGAGCGTCTACTGCTAAATCTGAGTCCAGTCAAAACTAAGGTTTAATAACAACAAATAAATAAGATTGTGTTTCAGAGCTCAAAAAATAAAAATAAACACAAATTTTGTTCACCTTTTCAAAAAACCTGATCCACTCATTGTTGGGGAATGGGACAGCCTGGCCAGCTGTGCCCCTCCCGACATGTACAAGCACAAGAAGTTTAGTGCTGGGCTTTTTCCACCCTGCCCGTTGCTAACCGCAAGATCCTGTTTTGACTTTAAGCATCCTGTTATTGCATGTTTCCCACATTTACTAAGTTTTGTTTCTTGCTGATTTGGTAACATGTTTTCCGTGAATCATATATAAACAGGTGGACGGTGGGAGGGGGATATATAAGAGGGTTGGAGGAGGCGAAGACAGCGGGCGTTCGTGACATGTAACCCGAGTCTGCTAAAAAATAAAGTGGAAGCTGAAAAGCCGATAAACGCGTCTGGTGTCTCCGAGGTCTCGCCGGCGTTAACCTATCCGGAAGGTGCACGCCTGCAACTCATCTTTTTAAAAAAATTTTATTTCATGTTTCAGTTCTGATATTATTTCTGTCTTCTAACTCTGGGATTTTCTTGCTTTTTGTGGTCCTTGAGGTGCATTGTTGTGTTTGTTGCATTTCCATTTCTTAGGCCATCCTCTGCTACTTTCCCAGGTGCATCAGCAGGGAGCTGGATCAAAAGTGCAGCAGCTGGGATTTGAACCGGTGCCCATATGGGATGCCGGTGCTGCAGGCAGAGGCTTAACTTGCTACACCATGGTACTGGGCCCTCAAATCCGTTTTTCAAAGTTTGTTCTGATGCGCCCTGACCTCCACTGCTGCCTGGAGGTGCTTGCCGCCTGAGCCCTGAGGGGCTGTGTGGTGTCCTGGCCAGCCTCGAGCACCCTTGGTGCGGCTTTGGCTCACAGCTAGTTAAATGCCCTTGAACTTGTCCCCCATGTACACAGAAATTATCTAGGGGCTGGTGTTTGTGATGTAGCAGGTAATGCTGCTGCCTGTGATGCCAGCATCTCATATCAGCACCAGTTCAAGTCCTGGCTGCTCCACTTCCAGTCCAGCTCCTTGCTAATGCACCTCGGAAATTAGTGGAGGATGGCACAAGTGTTTGGGCCCCTGTAGCCATGTGAGATCTGGAAGAAGCTCCTGGCTCCTGGCTCTTGACTTTGGTCATGGCCAGCTTCAGCCATGAGGCCATATGGGTAGTGAACGAGTGGATAGAAGATCTGCCTCTCTCCCCCTCTCTCCCTGTAACTCTGCCTTTCAAATAAATAAAAATAAATCTCTAAAAGATTATAAAAAATATGTTGATACTGAGATCACATACAGCATCCTAAATATATAGCCCCTTAGTCTGAGTCCATGCCACCTACAATAGCATACACAAATTCTGCTCCTGTGTGCCTTGGTCCAATACTTCTTTTCTTGTTATTGATAACATAGTCATGCCTTGTGTGCACAAACTTGCCTGTGTATAATTAATTTTATGTAATTCCCTCTTAAGTGTTGTAGGAGTAAAAGGTGGATTCCTGGGGCAGCAATAAGTCACCTCCTGGTGTCTACATCCCACATAGGATTTCCTGGGTTTCCATCTGGTCCAGTCCTGATTTCAGCTTCCTCCTGATGTGCACTGTGGGAGACAGCAAGTCTCATAAGGGCCCAAAACGCAGCCCACAGTTCTTTGTGGGCTCCAGTGTTGGAGTGTGGGTGGGCATGGATGATACGGGACTTTGCTTGTCATGGAATGGGAGCTGGAAACACAGCTGCTTAGAAGCTGACAACCAAGGCACAGAGATGAGTCTGAATCCCATTGTTTCAAGCATGTGGGGGCAAAACCCCCAAGTTACTTCTGGGAATCTGTGCCACCACTGGGAGAAGTACTAGGCTAAGACTGTCGGGGGGTGTGTTTGGGAATTTGTAATTTGCCGGAGGATACAGACATGCAGGCAGTTTACAATAGACCCTTTCCGGGCCATATTCAGGAGTGGGAGATGATTTCCCTCAGATGAGAGTGTGAGTTTTCTACATGAGTGCAGATTTGTGTTAGCCAATATAGTATATCTTCTCCTAGACAAGCCCTTGTTCACCCCTCACACATACTGCTCTGCACAAAGGTGCCTTGCCCAAGAACTCCTCTTCACTATTCCTCCCTGTGAGAAGTAAACACTTGGTGCATTTTCAAAGTAAGAATGGTAGATTCCGTGCACCTGAGTTTTTAGGAACCCAGGAAGGTTGTGGCCAAACTGCTGAAGCAAATGCCAGGAAGATTGTCACGCTGTTGTTACTCAGCCAGTGAGGAAGTGGGGGAGGGGATCTGCTTGCTAGGAAATAAATAGCTTTCTGGAACCTGCTCCTGGTGTGCTGGCACAAGGCGTTGCAAGATCGGAAGTTGGGTCTCGCTCTTGTTTGCACTCACTGAGTCGAGTCCATCGCTTGAGTGAATGAGTGAGGCTGTTTCTCACGCAGACCAAGCTTTAGGAATCATCTGTCAGCCAATGGAGGGCTGCCCATGGTGAGTGTGTGTGTTCCCCGAGAGGCAAACATGCATGGCCTTGCCTTCATTACGTGCCTGTGGTTTCCTGGGCTGTTCTGAGCTTCAGAGACCCCCAGGGATGAGAGAAGGCAGGGACCTCAGTTTCCTTGCTGTGGGAACTGAGGTGATGCCTGTGAAAGCATACATTTTGCCCACATGAGAGGGTTGTTTGGAGATGGCTGTACATCTCTGCTAGCTGCTTCCTGAGTTCAGGAAACTTGGCCCTGGTTGCAGTGCTAGTCACGATGGGGTGAGGGTGAGGGACTGAGCTAGAGCTCAGGGCTCCACTTCAGGGGGCTGTGCTGTCTGAAGTTTTACTCTTTCTGCTGATGCCTTTTTTTAATTAAAGATTTATTATGTATTTGAAAGAGTTACACAGAGAAGGAGAGGCAGAGAGAGGCAGAGACAGAGAGGCAGAGAGAGAGAGGCAGAGACAGAGAGGCAGGCAGAGACAGAGAGGGAGATGTCAGTCTTCCATCCGCTGGTTCACTCCCCAGTTGGCCATAATGGCCAGAACTGTGCTGATCTGAAGCCAGGAGTCAGGAGCTTCTTCTGAGTCTCCCATGCAGGTATAGGGGCCCAAGGACTTGGGCCAGCTTCTACTGCTTTCCCAGGCCTTAGCAGAGAGCTGGATCAGAAGTGGAGCAGCCAGGTCTTGAACTGGCACCCATATGGGATGCCGGCACTGCAGGTGGTGGCTTTACCTGCTATGCCACAGTGCTGTTCATCCTTATGACATTGTTGTGCTTTTTTTTTTTGAAGATTTATTTATTTGAAAGTCAGAGTTTTACACACACACACACATAGGTCTTCCATCCGCAATTGGCCGCAACGGCTGGAGCTGTGTCGATCCTGAATCCAGGAGCTTCCTCCAGGACTTGGGCCATCTTCCTCTGCTTTCCCAGGCCATAGCAGAGAGCTGGATCAGAAGTGGAGCAGGCGGGTCTTGAACTAGTGCCCATATGGCCCTTCAGGCCAGGGCATTAAGCCGCTGCAGCACAGCGCTAGCCCCTGTCTTGTCTTCTGATTCCTGGTGTTTCCAAACTCTCCATCTTCCTGTCCTCCAGTGAGCCCCTCCCCTTGCCTGTCTTTTTTACCCCTTCTCCCCTCCAGCCCTTCCTCCTCCTGTCTGCCTATGCATATCAACTGTTATGGCTGTGAATGCAAAGGCCTGCCTTACTCCTGGTGTTTCATTTCATGTTTGATCCTAGTATGAAAGGTGATTTTATGTAATGACTGGACGGGGCCACCAAGTGCCCACACATTTGGCCAGGCATAAATTTGATGTTTCTGTGTGGGTACTTCTGGCTAGGTTTAACATCTGTAGACTTTGTCAGGGAAATCGCCCTTCCTGGTGAGGTTTGAGTGGAGCAAAAGGGCTACTCAGTCCATGAGCAGGAGCGGACCCTCCTACCTTAGTGCCTTAGATAACTGACTAATACTCTGATAGTGTCCTAGAATTGAATGAATGGCTCTCCTGGGTCTCCAGATGGGGACATGGACATCTTGGTCCCTGGGATCCTCCCCAAATGACTCAGGAGTGTCAGTAGCTGTATAATGCATCTTTCTTTGCCAATACAGGCAAATGCCAGATACATAGAGGG